ATTGCATCTGAATGGAATGAAAAATCTATAGGCAGTATACCTAAAAAGAAATTTCAAACTTTGAGAAGACTTGAGGGAATTGATAAAGAACAACAATCTTACAGCCATTAAGGATTATTTAAACTTAAAAGATGTCTTTAGTAAGACTATTAGAAGCTAACAATTTAAGGGGAGATGATTTGGTTTCAAAAATCCTAGTGTAAGTGCCTTTAATGAGGGGACAAGAATACCAAATTCTTTTATGTTGTCGCTAAGACGAGTGGGAAAAAAGATAACATTAAAGCTTTACAAGATGAATTAAGTAACTAGGTTTCTGATATAGAATCTTTGAAACAAATGGCCTGTGATATTTACCAAAGACTGTATTCTAAAGACCAAGCTATACACAAGAATATTATCTTACCCCATAATTTCCCTACTCTCTCAGCTAATAAACTTAGCCTTAGTCATCAAGATGTCTTTGACATTGAGATCAAGAATACAACTTTTAGTATGGATGCCTTCAAAGTACCAGGGACGAATAGCTTACAAGCTTACTTCTTTTATACTTAATAGGCTAATGTGGGTAGGAAAATATGTGATTTTATTAAGGGGGCTTTTACTAATCTTGATCAAATTAAGGATATCAACTATACAAGTATAGTCCTGATTCTAAAAGTTGATCATCTATCCTTACTTAAGGAATTGAGGTCGATCTTCCTTTGCAATGTAAGCCTTAAGATTATTACTCAAATCATTGTAAAGAAATTAAGAAATGTGATGGATAAACTTATCTTACCTAATTAGTATAGCTTCATTGTGGGCTGCCAGGGATGTAACAATCTAATCATCACCTAAGAAGCCATCCACACAACGAGAAATAAATTGAGTGAGAAGAAATTTATAGCTATAAAGGTGGATATGGAAAAGGCATATGATAGACTGGATTGGTGTTTCTTAGAAAACACACTACCTAGTATTGGTCTTCACCAAGACTTCATTTGAATCATCATGACATGTGTCTCTTTGATTACCATGAAGATTTTATGGAGTGGTAACAAAACACTTACCTTCTCACCATCTCGGGGTGTGCATCAAGGGGATCCACTTAGCCCCTACCTACTTATTCTCTATATGGAACAATTAGGTCATATCATTATTGAGAAGGTTGTACCAAAAAGATAGAAACCTCTTAAAATAAGTTGTAAGGGTACTAATATATTATTTGATTGAGGAAGCAGTCAAATAGCTAAGTCAGATACAGGAACTTGCTTGGAAGAGGCAAGTAAAGATGAGAAGTAAAGAGACAAATGGAGGAGTAAAACAAAGAATATTGCAAAAGGAGCGCGCGCGTGCACATATAGAGAGAGAGAGCATTAAAAATTCCTAAATTGTAGAAAAGGAGATAATATGTTAGTGGATGGGGGAGATGGAGCCTACTCATCACCATCAATTTCCATCCTTTCAACCCTCAACCTTATGCTTTGCACTCTTTAATAACAGTAATGCCATTATGAATCCTCAATTTCTTGCCAATCCCCTCTATAATTTATGTACCTTCCTACCTTCTCTCACATGCTACCTTTTCCCTTTGCCATCCTTCCCTCATCATTTTTAACCTCTTTAATCCAAATCCTTATGTAAAACTACTTTGGCTTCATATGGAACACATTCTCGAGTGAAAGTCCCTCCTAAATTCCATCCACAATATCATGTTAAATGCATTCAAAATATCCTACTTTTTAGATCATCTCTCTATAACTAGATTTATATCATCATTTTGCAAATATTCATAAATTAAGCTCACCACTTGTTTATTGAATTCAATGGAAAGCATGATTCAATGTTTATATCATGGACTTAGATGCACCGAGTCATGGGTTTTATCTTAATCTTGTATCAATATTTTTTTACTAGGGTTGCCTTCTTGTGGCATTACTTCTAGCTATATTCCATGCATGCTAGAGTATCCAATCCTACAAGTAAAAAGTATTCATATAAGGCTTGACTAGTTTTATCCAGACTAGATTTAAAAGGACATGAGGTTTGCATAAGTCACTGGTCATTACTTTGTTGGAGCCCTATGTAAATTTGATCCCAAGCTACTTTTCAAATTAAAGGAAGCCTTTAATCTTTTCATGAGTAGGACACTTTAAGTATTTGATTTGTCCAGACATTAATGTTTTGAGAATTTATTTGTCGACTTATATAGTTAATTGTATGTATATCCATACTTTAGCTCTTGGTCGTTCCTCTATGTTTTAGATTCCAAATAAAGATGGTTTGTGGTGAACCAATACCTCCTAAACACTCTCTTGGAACACTTAATTCATTCGAGACCCATAAGTATAAAGGAGAAATCATGACATGCTATGTGTATTCACTATTCATTATATCAGAAGTGAAATCTGCCCATTATTACTCAATTTAATTTCACTAGGGAATAGTGGGCCTCTCTTCTCTTCTCACCTTGGCCTTAAAAATGACTCATTGTGAACGTTCTAGGTCCATTACTAGGGGGACAAATCATGGAAGCACAAACTTATATATCTCAATCAATCGTTTAATCTAACACAGTCTAAAGAAATTTGAGAGAATAACGCTAGGTTATACATTATATTGTCTATAAGTTCACATCTCATAATTATATATATATATATATATATATCACAACCCCCTAAAATCTCTCCCATTGCATGCACTCTATATCTTCATTGACTCAGTATGAATAACTTCCCAAGAATATTAGATTATAAGCTTTTTTGGCTCAAAATAATTAAAGAAAAAGGATAATTAAATCCTTGTTTTTTCTTGGTTCTTTTAAATTTAAAGGAACAGAATGGATTGTCATATATGTTAAACCATAATTGATATATATACCTAAAAACCTTTATTTTATTATAGTAAATTACTATTAATATATGTAATAACATGTTAAATAATTTTAAAATATTAAGTGACTTAGATAGTGTTTAGTTGGAGGGGAGGGGACGGGAGGAAAAATTTTAAAAAAATTTCCCTCCCTTCCCTTCCAAAACCTCCCCCCTAAACTAGGGGGATCCTCCCCTCCCTTCCTCCCCCTCTCCTTAGAGAGAGGGAGAAGGAGGAGGAAGGAAGGGGAGGGGGGATCTCCCCAATTTAGGAAGGAGATTTTAGAGGGGAGGGGAACACCTTACCAAATAAGGGGAGGACCTTGTTTGGTAAGGTGGAGGGAAAATTTTTTCTCTCCTTCAACCAAATATTACCTTAAACTAGTATATTTATTTGAAGTACATGGATGGGAATTGGGAAAATTAGGTGGGGTAAGGATAAAGGTATTAATTTGGACTAAGCTTGATAAGCTAACTTGAATAAATCCAAAAAATCATAGGGTCGGATTTGGGAATTTAGAAGATTTTTTTTACTTTGAGCTTACTTAGGTCGCCCAAATAAACTCAAAGAAATTCAAGTCAGGCACAAACCTAAATGAACTTAGCTTGAATATCTGAATTCCTTTTCTTACTATTTATAAAATAATATAAAAATATGATAAAAATTAAAAATATTAATTTTTAAAATATAAAAATTGAAATTACATAAAAAATAAAATAATATTTCACAATTTACATATTTAGGCTAGCCCAAATAAGCCCAAAAGCTAGAGGAATTAGAGCTGAATTTAACTATATAAGCGTTTTTATATGCCAAGGCATTCTAAGCACAACTTGAATTGAATTCGACCTAAATAAACCTGCTCTATCCGAGTTAGTGGTTCTAGATAAGGAGGGGGAGGAGACACACTAAGTGAGATATTAGGACAATGGTGGTGGAATTTCTGAGTAGCTTCAAAAATTAAGATCTGAACAAGAAAGCCACTAACTTTACTGTGTTATTTAATATCCCTATTTAATTTGGCTGAAATGGCTATAAATTAAGGTGTTGTTGGAGTTAGCTGTGATTTATAAAGGGGGGGGGGCACAGGGAGAGATTCATGAAGACGCGCCTTCTAGAAACCCTGGCGAGAAGGAAACATGAAGATATATATAGTATATGGATACACATTTACAAAAGTTCTTGTTAGGATTGACATTTTGCGACGCTTAGAAGAGTATAGGCAAAATGAATGAACAAAACAAGGTCCAACACACATGCTTGCCTCACATACATGCAGTCTCGGGGGGTTGGTGACCATTTTAACCACTCATAGTAACATTATTATTCGTAGGCGCGTAGCCATTACAAATGATAAATTAGGCCAAACATTATTGAATTCAAGAACTCTATAAGTTTCATGCATGGAATGCACTTCCATTCAGCGTCAACTGTACTATATACCTGTATATATTCTGATCTTTTATGCATGCATCCTCCTTCAGTTTATTCTTCTTTCACGTATATATACATTGAACTCATAATTAACCAGTAAAATTCGTAATATATGGATGTAACACGTACATGTGAAAATAATCTTGTGCGTTTTGCTACAATGATACTGATGAACACATGATCAGTAGAAGAACAGTCCCCATGCTTAAAACTGAGAGAGAGATGACGGTGGGTGTTGACAAGTGTTGGCAATAAAAAATGAATAAAAGAGAAGACAGTTCATGTTCCCATTGATTGGACTGGCGTGAGGTTATCGGAGAGGTTTTGGTGGGTAGAAATGGGTGAAGGTGGTTGGACAGGACCGAAGAAATTTTGGGAATCAGTGTAACAGGCTCAACTCGCTCGTGCACAAAAAATAATTCCCACTACCTAGCCTTCTTAATATTGTAAAAAAAGAAATTTAATCATAAAATACACGTCCCAATCAACACATATAGCATTAGATATATGAAGTCAAGTCGCTGGTTTTCTTGCTTTTTCTTAGTAAATATCCCAAAACCCTTAGGGCAACTTGGGAAATCTACTCAATAACATAGATATAATCTTTGTCAAAGGGTTAGCTGCATGAAGCAAATTAAAAATGTAAGAATATCCGTGAATGCTTTCGTGTTGAAGGGTGCGTTATAAAGCCATAAAGCACCTCATTCTGGTGATGTTATTGATCTTACAGTTCCTCCTTTTCCTCTCCTCTTTGCGAAAGCTTATTCAAGAGATCCTAACGAGAGATTGATGGAGGAAAACCTACCTCCTGGGTTCAGATTCCATCCTACAGATGAAGAGCTCATCACGCATTATCTGACAAGGAAGGTGTGCGATACCAGCTTCACATCCAAAGCCATAGCAGTCGTTGATCTCAACAAGAACGAGCCTTGGGATCTTCCAGGTAGATATAGTTTTAGATCCCTTGATTGTCGGTGACACTTTCACGTCTCTTTGATAACCCGTGTATGCATGGGAATTATGAAGCTAGCCAGCTAGCCTATATAATATAAAATGTGGAAAAACAGGAAAAGCAAGAATGGGAGAGAAGGAATGGTATTTCTTCAGCGTGAGAGATCGCAAGTACCCGACGGGGCTGAGAACGAACAGAGCGACAGAAGCAGGGTACTGGAAGACGACAGGAAAAGACAAAGAAATAATGAGGGAAAGCGCAGTGGTGGGAATGAAGAAAACGCTCGTCTTCTACAAGGGCAGAGCTCCCAGGGGCGAGAAAACCAACTGGGTCATGCATGAATACCGCCTTCACATCAACCACTCTTTTAGGCCTTCTAAGGTAATAGTTCTCGACGTAAGATATGCCAACTCACTTCCATGTATACATGATTATTAACATTAACCTTCTATCCATGGATAATTATAGTGGAGGATGATACAGGGTAATGATGATATTTTTTTTCGCTTGTGGGGTGTGCAGGAAGAATGGGTGGTTTGTAGGGTCTTCCAGAAAAGCTCGGCGGCAAAGAAAGCACAACAGACGTCATCCTCACAACTATCTCTGGACTCTCCTCCTGATAATACCTCTTTGGTCAATGAATTTGGGGATGTTGACCTCCCAAATTTAAACACCATGACTGCAAATTCATCCAGTGGCGGCTTCACCGCCATGTCCTCCCAAATTTACAATAGCCATGTCAATACGAATATGAACTTGACATCTGATCATCGGCTTCCCTCTCTTCCATCCCTCCCATGGCCTTCTGGTCTGCTGAACCCTAACGTTTCCGTGAATTCCTTGCTTCTCAAGGCATTGCAGCTCCGGAGTTGTCAGCAAAGAGAAATTGCAATGACGGATCATTTCGTTTCATATGCTCCGCCTCAAGGGGTTTCCCAAGTGATGGAAAGTACTAATCATCTCACTCCAAATCTCAGACTGGATGCTTCTTCCTCATCCAAGGTTTTAGATATGCCACAGCAACAGCAGCAGGAGCAACCGTTCAGTCTGGACTCCATTTGGTGAAAGCTGCGTATTTAAAGAATGAAGAGCTAACGTTATTGTGTAAACCTCCCTTGTTGATGTCCACACTTAAATGACTCAACCCAATCATTATTGTCGGTGTACGTATTTACAGTGAAAATAGGGTACTCTTAGGGAGTAAAAGCTCCTCCCTCATTCAGTTGCTTTTATATGTTTCAGTGTTTGACACAGTCAAATCTCAAGAAAAGATCAAACCGGTCTGTACAATAAATTAAATGCAGGCCTTCTGCCGGATCTCTCTCCGAATGTGTCATGTCTTTTTCTCTGCTCTTTCCAATCATGCAACACCCACGTACGGTTAAGTAAATTGTGATTTACAATTACATATGTTCCTATAATCGCCTGCTTTTTACGTAATTAATCACTATATTATATAACAATTATATCCAACATTATAGAACCATCTTTTTTTATTTTTATCCCAGTGCTGTGCGTCAGCACAAGGGAAATGGCTAGTTAAACGGTAAAATGGAATCGGATGATGATACCAATAAACTGAAAACCATGCCGTACTAAGTTGGTCCCAGAGGGGAAAACATCAGTTATGAGTTTTCCAGATTTAACACTCGAACCATACTCAAGGCAAACAGGAAAATTATAGCCTCGTCCTCCCATGCTTAGTGGAATGAGCCATTGATCCGAAATTCGGAAGGGGGGCGACGGCGAGCTTAATCTGGTCGATGGCTGGAATGGAAGACCTCGTGCCAGAGCCAAACATAGGAGCAAGGTAATGTAATTTAATCTTAGAAATCTCGATCATTTCTTTTTTTTTTTTTTAATTTTCGCTTTCGCGGGCTTTCCTTTATTATCCGAAGTTCTGGTTCATCTTCATCATTTCGGTATTTCCTTCCCAATGGAGTTTTATAAAACAAATATTTTGTCAGTTTCTGCACCATCTCTCTCCTTCCCCACTATTTCTCTCCTTCCCCGGCCGGTATTTGATTTCGTAGAGGTCGACAGTGTACAGACTTGGGGCTTTTTAACTCTTTGATGGTTCGTATTCGATCGATTACCAATTTACCATTACAATCTGAATTCCATTGAAGGCAATAAGGAACACAAGGAAACATAATTTATTGGATTTCCATACAGGGGCGCGGAACTCTTCCAATGGACGAGCGATTATACTAATAAATTAAATATATAGTCTACAGTCACTCGTAAGCCAACCAGCATACTCAAAGCCAAAAGAGAGCCGCAGAAGATCAGGCGCCATTGGAAATGGAAAATCTGGGATCGGCACATCATTGATGATAGAATTTTGCTGAAGTTCCAATGACGCGCAAACAGGGGAAAAGATCAATTCATTGTCGTAAATCCGCCTCCCCATGTCCACACCTACAAACAGGGAAAATGACTTGAAATACAGAAAACGCAATCTGACTGCATAAAAAGCACTAGATTTTAATTCCCAGAAATATTACAGATTTTAAAAGGAAAAGAAGTCTCATCTCACAAAAGGAATTTCTTTTTTAAAGTTGTTTGAACTGGACTGATTGATCCTAACAAATTGTTGAACAAACAGTCAAATCAGTTCTAGAAATGGCAAAATTCAGCATCTTCGACGATTATTTCGCTAGACCCCAGGGCACTATAACTCCATTGAGGAACAGAGATTGCTTCTTATTTGCATAAATGGAAACTGTATAAGACTCAACCAGAAGGCCGGAAATCAATTACCTACTGGGTGTACTCGGAGGCTTAAACCTTGCGCAGAACATGGGATTCTACAAGATAGAGGTTTACACTTTACACTGACGTGGTGACATCATTTAGATGTTAGAACTCCAGTAATTGTCAGAGCCTTGAACCATAGCATATACTAGTCACTTCTGCATGGAAAGATGTAGGCAAGTTCGAGTTATCCATGCATGCCCCTAGGGGAGAAAACAGAACTCCAGACGCTTTAGCTCGTTTGACTGTGGCCAATATGAGATCCTTTACTTTCTTTGATGAAGTTCCTAGTAGCGTAGGAGCTTTTGTAACTGAAGATGACGTTGGACCCCGTCCCTGACCCTATCCTTGTGACTCTCTAAATTGGGCTTAGATCCTATTTTCACTCGGGGAGAGAGAGAGAGAGGGAGAGGGAGAGAGAGAGAGATGGAAGTAACAGGAATAAGTAGGTCAATCTCTCCTAAACCGCAGCATGAGAATACATTTGTTACCGACTTACAAATCAAGTGATCAAATAGTAGTGCTGATACCTAGTTGGTTGCAGTAAATGAAAGACGCCATTGAGGAAGCTTCAATGATGCACAATAACCTTTCTTCATAGGATGCATATCGTTTTAAAAGCTTCAGGGCTCAAAATTTTCATCATCTTCACAACCAATGTCTTCCTTATCATCATAATCAACATCATTATAGTCATCAGAATCTTCATCGTCACTCTGGAAATAATAATTTAATAAGATCGTTAGCCAAACATACAATTTGAAAAAAATTAACTGTAATCCCAATAAATAATTATTTCTTTCATCACGCCTCCTCGTTTCCCTCTTTTCATACTTGATAATAAGCACTTCTTTATCAGTTCCCAGAACTTACGACCAAAGAATATCATGACAAACTGAACTACTAGTCCAAGGAACTTATATATGCTAGTGATACCATTAACGAAAAAATTAAGACAGAAGGATGAATTCATTGATAACCTGAGAAGGCATGAGAGGTAACTTACTTGGCTAAATTCTGAGATGGGGTTTATTTGATTATTATCCTCTACGCTCCAACTATCTTCAAGCTCATCTTGAGACATACCCTGAGGAATTATGAAAAGATAAAATTAATACTAATTCATACTACCTTGCACAAAAACATGATGATGAGCTATGCTATCCCAACAATTTACATCACCATCACATTTACATGGATAGGCAGAAAATCAAGAAAGATTTAAATGTCAATGTCTCCTTTTCATTTTCCTTTTATTTTTTTGGAGGAGGAGGGGTGGGGGAAGGTTGACAATATAGACTCTGGGAAATAAAGTCATTTTAATTAAACATTACAACCTCTGGGTGGAATACAAAAGGAGTCTCACTATTGGAGGCAGAAAGTTTTCAATTACTAAGATAATGCAATCATTTCATTAGAGTACACAATGACATAAGTTACTACAAGTTGATAACTCACAAGATCTTTTTTCATTTGCTCTATAGTTTTCTCCAGTTCAGTTATATGCTGACTAAGAGCCTGCACAGATCATAAATGATCAAATCTGACACCATAGATATCAAAGAGATGAGAAGATCAATATTTGAAAATAAAAAAGCTGAAACCTCATGGCGTTGCACGGCTACAGAGCGTTTCAATGCCTTTGCCTTTGTTAGAAGGTTTCTAGGCCTCAGAGTGATAGGCCGCCTATAATTCTTTCCACGGTAGTAGATAATGACATATCCTTTGGGAACTCTTTCTATTGCCACAAGTATTCCACCACTTTCATATTCCAACAACCTAGCTGTGTCTTCAACAAAAGCAAGGGTCTTTTGTTTGGTAATCAATTTTACAAGTTCTCGGTGCTTCCAATGCAAATGCATATTCTCAATGACACCATCAAAGACCCCACGTATACCTGGAGATGTTCATAATAGAATGTTAAAATGTTAGCACTGAATTGATGCAATATAGCAACTTTCATATGGCTGAAAATTACCCACCAAGTGGCAAGTATGGTTTCATTCTTAGACCAACCCGGCGAAACATCACGCGCTCTTCATCTGTGATTGTTTCCTGGTCATAATCAGGACCAGCTGGAACCATGGATGCTTCTATTTTAGCTAACAGCCTTTCTGCTCTAAGCTTTTTTGCCTGAGCCTGTTCATGCATTTAGAGTGGTGTGTATGTGTTTGTGCATATATATATAAAAGCATAGTGCAGATAGTAATAGATTTTATTATATATATTAATAATCTTCTTGAAATAAGAAGCTACTTTTTTTGAATGAACATAAGTAAATAGAAACGTACAATATTTAGCTTATGTTCAACTTGTTTGACAAGCCTAACACTCTTGGCTTTTGCAGTTTCTTCCATCATCTTCTCATGTTCGTCAGTAGATATTTCCCTCCCCCAGCGTGCCCGAGCCTCATAAAACTCTGCCAATGATCCTGCTTGTGCTGTTGATGTTGAAGGAATTGTACCAACAGCTTCACAGCGCTTTTTCTCTTCAACATCCTGTACCTGTTTTGCTAATTCTGCTCTTTCAGCTAAAACTGCGGCAACACTTGTTGGAACAAAGTCCTTCCCACGAAACATTACTATGTAGTATTTATTCCTTAGCAACAAAGTACCACCTGTCAAATTCTGGACCACAAAAGAAAATAAAAACATCATTCTTACATGAAAACTAATTATTATTCCTAGTTCTTAGTATATCATGCATACAAGAGAAGGGAAAAAAAACAAAGAGGTCCCATTGGTTCATGTAAACAAATTTGTTTGTGTCACATTACCAAGATTATGTCATCCTATAATGAGTAGCAATATCTTCAAAGTAATAGTGATTTGTCATCATAATTACAAAAATGTTGATTCATTTTACTGTCGTATGTGGTGTTGAGACATGGAGAAAATGGATTAATTTTTGAAATTACAACAGCCTTTTTTTCCTTTCGATCATTTGCCAGTTGATAAGATTAATGAAACAACAATTGAGTCCTTTTAAGTTGTTGCATTGACAAAATGCACATCAATTCAACAGTTTGTACTTTTCCCAAAATGCAATGCCTTTAGCGGATTCTCGCGCAGTTTGCAGAAGTAGTGCAGTATAAAAGAGATTGCATGGAACAAACCTTTAGCTCCTCAGCCATCAGCTTATTGTTTGTATTCTGGATACCTCGTTTGACAGCAATCTTTGCAACTAAGCTTTTTTCCCAAAGCTTGAGAATAGCACATGCCAAACCTTGATGATTTCTATTTCTCCCTTTATGGAAGCCAGCAACAGATTTGTATCAGGAACCGAGAAATAAACATGAAAAGATAATGTAGTAGATGAGATTTACCTAAGGCAAAATGACAAGGAAGTGATTTGGCAACTTTCCTTAAATTGGTCATCTCTGCATTTGTTAGTCGAGAACGCATTCCAGTAGGAAGAAGCCTAAAGGGTGTTTTATAACCAGGAATTGTAGGAGCAAGTAAATCAGCATCAACAGGAAGTATTCCTGTGCCCCACCATTCAACAAAACGAGGACCTAAACCATCAAGCAGGCTGTTATACTCTGCTGCCTCCTGTGTCATGTTCTCTGCTTGTTTATAATTCCTCACAACTGGCTCACTCTTTTCCTGGGATGATGTTGCATTGCTGTCCTCTGTCGATGACAAATTGCTTGTGGAAATATTAGGCACAAAAAGGTCTTCAACTTCCCTTCCATTAGATTGGCTCCTAGATGTAGGTCCTTCATAATGACCACCACGATACACCATCATAACACTTCCAGACCTCCATATGACTAATCCTCCTGTTCGACGCTGCTCAATACTAGCAAAAGTTAGTTCATATGTTCTACAACACGCTAAAGGTAAACATTGTACAAGTGGACTTCCGTACAATAGTCTCATCTAGCAGCAGCGGCATATTGACATGACAAATAAAGCCCAGGCAAGAAATTAATTACATTGCATTATTAACACTACACTTAATTACCTTATATACATCTTTCAGGTTGTGGAGAGCCATGGGCACTACCAAGTGAGATTAAAAAAAAAAAACCATCAAAAGCATTAAGAATACTTTAGTGTTATATAATTTCAAAATTAAGAAGATAACTTGAAAGATAAATAGCTGATAGTTTATCAATGGTCATCAGGAAATGTCATTCAAATAAGAAAATTAAGATTTGTTGCAAAGAAGAGGACGGCAGATATTTTAAGGCTTTGTCATAATTAAGCAAGTTAGTTAATATTAGACATCATGAACTTATCGGCATACTGTAGGTTATCCAAATTGGCCGTGCTTATGAAGGTCATGCAGCTCTAAATAACCTTAAAGAAGTAAGGTAAAAAAACTTTTTTTTTTTTTTGGAATAAAAGGCTATGACATAGAGACAGAGACACAGAGTAGAAACTACTCTGTTTATCCAAATCAATTAACTCCCTACATCCTATAGAAAGCTCTATGAAGTAAACAGATTGTGTCTCAAGGTATTGGAATAAAAAGCATCTTCCAAAACACCACCAGCAATAGCTTTCCGAAACGACAGCAGATTCAGCTCATGAAATTCGCTCAACAGATCAAAGTTACCGGAACGAAAATTTACAATGCAGCCAACTAAAGTGGTGAAAACGTAAAGCAGGGCGGAGTATTCATAATTCATATCAACTGAAGAAATAAATTCAGGTAAACCAACAAACCTCAACAATCTCGTGAGCTGTCTTCATATCCCGAGCAAGTGCCTCATGAAACTTGAGCCTCACCAACTCCTCTTTCCTCCACTTTTCATGAATCTTCTCCAGCACAGCCTGCGTAATCCCAGCTTTTGGCACGCTGATCCTCTCTCTAATGTTCATTCCCATTCTTCTCAGTCGCCTAAGCTCCTCATCCTCAAGAGTTAGCTCCGCCAAAGTTGGTGCCTTTACCCTCCTTTTCTTCAGCCCCCTCTCTCCGTCCACTGCCGTATCATTCTCCTCACCTCTCTCCCACGGCAAGACCATCTCATCACGTTGATCCTCAGCCAATACAGCATCCGGTCGAACCCACTCTCGCCGCAACAAGTCGCCCAGTCTCTCCCCTCCGGTTAGTGGCAATTCAGCCCTGCCTCCAGCTTCCATTTCGTCTTCCTCCTCATCATCTGACCCCAGTCCTAAATTCCGCAGTCGAAGAACGATTCTCTCAATCGCATTCTGCCCCTTATCCTTATGAAAAAAGCGAGTCTCAGCTTGATCAACCGGCTCCTCGGCATTAAAGTCAGAAACTTTTCTGTTCTGTTGTCGGTTCGGTGATTCAGTTGCAGGATTAGAAGAGGGCCATTTGGTGATCCATGGGGCTGTTGGGGACTTTGATTTTGGGGAGGGTTTGGGGCCTCCGTCATCCCAAGAGGAAGAATAGTCGCGGCCACTTTGCTCTGTTGTTCGGAGGGAGGAGGAAGGCCTGAGAACGAGAAACGAAAATTTGGAGTGACAGAAGGAAGCGCGGCCATGAGCGGAGGAGCGATAGTTAAGCGAGAGTGAAGTCCTGAGAGGAAATTCACAAAATTTATTACCCGCGAGGGCCATTTTTAATTGAAAGGAGTTAAATTTGTGTAGTATTTGCTCCATGTACGTCGTCACCCATTATTTGGATGCTCAGCAAGTTGCAGAGCCGCAGCACGGGGACGAAGACGATAAGATATTTTCAATTTTTCCTTTTCTCTTAAAAAAATTAAAATATATAAAATAATTTCAAATTTTAAAACAGTTATATATTTAATTTTTTTAATTTTTAATTTTATTTTTTAAAATAATTAATTATTAAATATATTTTTTTAAGAGTTAAAATAGCTTTCAATTAAAAAATATTATAATTTAATTTAATATTATTATATTTGATTAATTTTAAAATACACCTAATATTTAAATATTTAATATTTAAAATTTTAAATATTTTAATTATATGTATTATATTAATCTAACATAAATATTTATTTTTAAAAATAATAAAATTATATATTACTGATGATAAAAAAATATGAATGAAATTAATATAAATATATATATTTCAAATTTTATATTATAATAATAATATTTTTTACCAATAACTCAACTATTTAAAAAATATAAAAAATTTATTATAAATAATTATGTATTATAATATTTTTATTTATTAATATTTTTAATTAAATAATATTTTAATTCTCATAAAAAATAATATAATCAATAATAGATAATTTTAAAAAATAAAATTAAAAGTTAAGAAATTAATTTTAAATTTTAAAAAATGAGAGGAGTTTTATATAATTATTTTAAAGTTTAAAAATTTTTTATATATTTTAATTTAAAAAAACTAAAACGCTAAACGCATGAGGTTTTTATTTTTTTTGTTTTTTTTTACCAAAATCGCTTGAGATTAAATGCGCAACCTTTTCCTTACCAAAACAAAAAAAATTTACAGGTCACTGGGTTGTTCAATTTTATCTTTTAAATCTTATATATTAAATATATTTTCACTCACAAACTAAATTTTAATATTTTAAAATATTAATAATTATAAGTTATTACAAAATAAATAATTTACGAAATCAAAAAATATAAATAATTTATAAATAAATTCTAGGACGAAGATGAATTCAAAGGAATTTTCTTCTTGTTTTGTTTTTTTACGTCAACGTGAATCATATATACATTATGCTGCATCAAATATGGCAACCTCTGGAACACGGATGGGCTTCGATAACTGTAGATGGAGCCTGGTCTCAAATGACAAGGAAGTCAGGCTGTGGAGGGGTTATTCATGACAGCTCTAGGAAATTTTTGGTTGGATTTACTCACAGGATGACTCAAGGAGATAGCTTGAGTGCTGAGCTCTGGGGGATTCTTCTTGGTCTTCGCTTGGGGTGGGACACGGGTTATCGCAAAATAGCTCTTTAGTCGGACTCCACTGAGGCCATTAGACTAAGTACTTCCGATGTCAGTACGTCAGACCTTGACAAGGAAATTTTAAGGGAGATTCAGATGCTTCGACAACGTGAATGGATGGTGCAGTTATCTCATATTCCTCGTTCTGTAAATGCAGCAGCTCATCACCTGGCCCAACAGGCACTTGATTTAGAACCCGGCCATTACACTATTAGCTTTCCTTCTGATAGTCTTTTGTCTTTGCTAAATAAGGACATGCAATGTGCCAGTGACCTGTAGTTGAGGTCTTTTCTCATTAAAAAAATACGGACATATGCATATATACACGCATCTTAAGCTACTATTTGTGAGTTGTGACGTTAATTGTTGTGTAAACGGGGTGTACAAGTATTAATTGTAGGGATACAAAGAACATGATGGAGAACTTGAGAAGACAGGGAAGTTCAACATCATTTCAAAGGACGATGGTGTTCCAATTATGGCTCTCTCTCTCAAGGACAACAGCCGCTTCAGTGAGTTTCAGGTTTCCGACATGTTGCAGTGGTTCGGTTGGATCGTGCCGGCCTACACCATGCCTCTCGACGCCCAACACATGACCCTGCTCCATGTCATCATCCGCAAGGATTTCTCCCGAGCCCTTACTGAGCGTCTCGTGTTGGATGTCCATAAGGTTCTTCACGAGCTTGAGTTGCTTCCTCCTAAGACAGAGTGGCCTTGAAATCGAAGGCTGCTGCTGCGGGTAAGGTCTTGGGAAGATCCCAAGGTGGGATTAAATATTAGTGAGAATGTTGTTTATGAGAGACACAGTAAGGCCAAAGAGAAAGGTCAAGGGTAAAAATATTTTTTTTTAATTTTAAAATTTATTAACAAACAAGTATATTAACACGTTTTGAGAGATTTTATTATTATTTATATATTTTAAAATTATCATTTTTTCTTGTTTTAATTTAATTTATTAATTTTATAAAATATATTTTCAATCCTTCAATCTTAACATTAAAATGCTAAGTCAACAATTTTAAATATTGGCAAAGAGTACTTAAATGATAATATTTTAATTTTTTAAAATTAAACTTAACCCATCAACATTTCAAAATTCTTTGTTAGTATTTAAAATTGTAATATTTAACAATTTAAGTTAATAAGACTAAAAAAATATTTTATAAAATTAAAGAATTAAATTAAAATTTTATGTGAAGTTAATAATTTAAAATTGACTCTGCTCTTTTTTTTTTTTTTTTGGGGTTTGAAAAAACAGTTAAAGGGGGCGAGTGGGGGCCTAATCTAATGGACAAATATGACACTGCAGCACATGCTATGCTATGAAGAATGAATGTTGCGAGAGAGGAGCCTTCATGACAAATACGATTTGACGGGAAAAATTCAAAGAAATAGGCAAGTTCGTTCCATTGATACTAACAAGTTAATTTTCACTTACTTCTTCAAAATTCAAAGGAAATACCGGAGAATATACTATATACGCTTGTGAGAGAGTGAACACTGCTTCATCCCTCTTCCAACAAAGGGATCTTGTTCTAGCTTAAAAAACTGATCAAACAAACATGTACAATTAATTGCTATATGAGATGCAATGCAACCATAAGAAGACGACTTGGTGGTGTGAGAAACATGCACAAGAACTGTCTGTGTCAGGTGAAAAATTATCGAAGACTAGAAGATCTTCTGCTCAGGGTGGAGGTAGAATTGCCATTGCCATTACTGATCTCCAGACCCAGCTCCTTTATTTTGCGTAGAAGAACCATTTGCTCTGTCTCCAGCTGCACTATATACCCTTTCTGTATATCTTCTAGATTTTCAAGCTCGCTCAAACTTGCAGATACTTCTTCAAGATTTCCATCCTCTATTAAACCTCGAAACTTGATTATCATCTGTTTTATCTGACATAATCCAAATTCAAGCACTATCAAAATAATGGCCTGGCATGACATGAATAGGAAATGCGAATAATGATAAACCTGCCCATAGGACTTGAGTCTGGTCCATTTATTTTTAATTAAAATTGTAAAAGCATAACACACCCACACACTTCATAGCTCTTTTGAACTGAAGGAGACAACTGCATCTGCAAATAAAATGTTTTGAAAAGAGTAGTGTCACATACGGCAGAATCACTCTCACCTGGGCAGGAATTTGGTGTAGTTTACTCAAGGAAGGAGCAGAGTCTAAAGAAGGTCTCTTGCGCATTTCTGGAACTTTCCTGGTAATTCGAACGTGAATCTCACCCCTTTTAACCCCTTGGAGAGGGATCCATTTGTCGGCCATCTGGTTTGGAGGCAACCTCTGATAGTCCACTACACATTCACCAAGGCTCTGTGTCGGAAGCAATGAATTATGGTCCTTCACGTGCAGTACAAGGCGACTCCCGTCATCCGGGAACTCTAATGTCTGGTTCCATTGAGGATTAAGAGTTTTGTGTATGACCTGCCAAACAATGCCACAGCGACTTCTGAGTGACGGCAATTTGTGAGACTACCATAATATCAACATATCACAACATGCAGGCCCACAGAAAACGTAGAGAAATTCGGAAACAAGACTTGCAGTATTAACCTTGGTCTTTTTCTTCAACTGTCCATAGTTTACCCTCACGTATGGGTCACTCGTCCCTCTGAGATCGACACCAATTAGATCCCTTGCTTCTACCAGATCAAGTTCAATCCAACCATGCTCTGAGCCCAGACCTGAACCCTAGCCATTGCGAAGGAGCAAAGCAGGACAGAATGAATATGCCAGGAATGAAAATTCAGCGCAGGACTGAATGAATATGCCAGAGGTGAGATTTCAGCTTACTTAAATAACTGTCCCGATAATATACGTTGAAAAAGTAAGAAAGAAAAACAGCCCTGGCTAGTTTAATCTTTGTACATATTCATCTGCAAATGAACAATTAGGAAAATTCCTATTGGAAACACATACCCTTGAGCCTTTTTTATCATCCACCATAACAGCTATTTGAAGTCTTACTTCTCCAGAACTCACTCTTTCAAGAGGGATCCACACATCCCTTACATTCCCTTCCACCAATCCTTCCAAATTTACAATAGCACTACCAATGTTTTCATCTCCAAAAATTTCATCACTGAAGCATTTTAATCTCAGGTGTTCGCCCCCACCAATCTCATCAAACTCAAACTTATGATTCCAGATAGGACTTGAGGTATGAGAAGTCCTTGTTCTTTGGACATTCTGTAAAAATATTTTGCAGTAAAATCAGATAAAGAGAGACCTTGGCTCAACAATCATTCACACCATGTAATCAGAAATCTCAAATAGACCCAGTATGACCCACCTTTCCATACTGCAATTTAACGTAGGGTTCAAACTTTCCAGATTTGTCTTTCACAGCAAAATTCTTTCCTTCCACGACAGTTATGTTAAGTTTCCTTCCGGTTCTTGACAGAAGTTGTGATGACCCATTAAGTGAATGCTGAGAGTTGATACGGAAGTTGTTCAAACTATGTGAACCATCAGAGAATTGCCACTCTTTTACTATAATTCTCACCTTCAACTAGAAAATGAAATGAAGAGGTAAAATGAAAAAAAGAAATCCAAATTCTTGACTGATCTGAGGCAAATAATCAATCAAGTTCTGGGTGGCAAAAGCGCTTATATGATAATTTTCATTCTTAGCCCTATCATGAGAAATATGTCTAAAGAGAACTAAGCAGAAAACCATCCAAAGTACATTAAATTTAGCAATGACAAGGAAAACAAACTGGTACACAAAGCTCAATTGATAGAGGATGGCACAAGGCCAGTGCAATCGCAGCATTGCTCCAAAGAGACTCAATATGAAACTCTCCTGAATTCAATTGATTTAAATTTAATACCATATGAACTGTTGTGGCTTGAAAATGATCAATATGCTTGAGGTGAAATATTATTATAAGATGAGCATGAATATTGTACCTCTCCGGAGCTGACCCCCTCGAATGGAACAACTACTTCAACCTCTTCTCCTGAACACTCTGCATGCTTTGCTATAATACCAGAATCAGGTCCTATTGCCCAAATTACTGTTGAGTCGTCTTCAACATGCCTCATCTTCTCAAAGATCCAAACAAAAAGTTAGCTCAAGTATTTGCTGCCAATAGAAAAGGAAAGGAAAAAAGCTGCTTGTCTGATATGAATAATAATATTATTAATTGGTGACTGATGCCTTCTATTGCCAATAAGTCATCATCTGTTGCTTGTTCACAAAGGAGAACATGAAAGCCAGTACCTTGATCTCACAAGTGCTCAAATAGTCATACTTCACACTGCTAGGAGGACACTCGTAAAGATTAAAACGAAGAGTTCCTGTACTATCATGTAAAACCATATTAAATGCTGCATCCCATCTAGGAGTTGATCCCAGTCTGACATCTGTTCTCCTAGTTAATTCCTCAAGTTCTACCTCCACAAATGTCTGTAGGTCTTTTTCATCCAAGTTGGCATCCAAAGGGCCATTGCTTGAACCATCTTGTTGCCTTCCCTTGAAGCAACTCCTGGAAAGTTTATTTGCCGAAATCACAGTAACATATACAATGCCTCCTACTGCCTTTCTCCTAAAATCTACAACAGGCAAATACAAACATCGGCGGCGAGGTTCTACCATTGTTTTGAATAAGGTTTCGGTAAAAAGTTTAACCTGTATTTAAAAAAAAAAAAATTACTATTAGCTTGAAACATCAGATTCGTATCATAATAAACATATTTCACAGACAATCTTAACAATATCGATATTCAATTTTTATCCTTCCGTTTTCAGCAATTGGTTCAAAATAGACTTTCAACTACATTGACAGACGCATGTAAGGAATTATGTCAATTAACCGAGGCATCAGTCTGAAGTCAACAACAGCTTCCATATCTGTTACTATAAAATTGTTTCTCACAGTCGCATCCGCATCAAAAGTTACAGTATAAGTGTAAGATAGTCCAGGGCCTCAAGATAAGCAAATGCAATTTTGTTATTTGCCCATAAATGTAAGAAGAATAAGCAGAAAAGAAACGTACCAGCCAAGAAGAAACACCAGGCAACACGGTGGCAGGAAGTGATTGGCTTCCACCGCTTCCAAAGGCAACTCCTATTCTCACCTCAGGAGTTGACACAAATGAATACAGAAGTGCTTTACCATCTAGAATTGGCATAGAAAGAAGCTGACAAATCAACATAAAAAAAAAAAAAAAAACAGATTAAGAGCAACAACAAGGCCAAAGCGGCTATTTTCATCTGATTCAAAAATCAATGTAACCCAAGTATTTTTTTCGTGTCTCCTACTTTAATTTATATGTTTTAGTTTTATGTCAGTAAAGCACAACATTTCTGAGAGAATGAAAATGATATCATTAACATACGTCACCCTTAATATGAAGACTGTTGATCACAATCCGGGCAGTTCCCATTAATGGCTTTGCAAGCTTGACCAGCATCAAAATACTCATTTCATTTGTGTCCCAATCAAGACCCATTTGCAATATTCGCTGCCACATGCCATACCAATGGAACGCTTGTTGAAACCCCATATAAACGATAGATTTTACATTGGAAAGGACAAACCATAATCACATTGAAAGAAGAAGGTAAATAACCTAGCAAAGAAAGTGGAATAGACGTAGGAATAAAAAATATAATCATTTAAATGGCATCAACGGCTGTAACGGAGATAAGCAGTAGCATCGTCTCTTCAAAAAGTCTGAGGAGCCAAAAAGGCAGTTCAAATTTGTTTAAACATGGTTTAGATACCCGGAATCATGATGTTTTAATATTTCATTTGCAATTTTTTGTCAAAAAAAAAAATTATGTGCAAGTAATCAACTAATGTTGCCCTTTTCTCATAAATCCTTGTCAAAACTAAATATGAACATAAAACAGAACCTTTAGAGAGATGGCGGCAACATAGAAGCCACACAAAACCTTTAGAGAGATATTATTTGATTGTGGTGGTGGTGATGGGGTTAAATTCAAAGTGTGAAATATTGGAGATTTGGACTGAAATCTGTTTTCCACTTCCACGTTTCGAATTAAGCTACGGTAGGGACTCCCCCTTGTTTTTTTTTTTTGGGGGGGGGGGTTAATCATAATAATAAAAAAAGATATGGAACCAACGAATGGGGGCGTTTGTGTGTTAAAACTAAAACGACATATAAAAAACTTCTAGTAAATCTGAATGTGAGACAAAAGAGAACCTGGTCTCCAGAAGTTGACCAGCGGATCCCCCGAAGACCCAAGCTAGGAGGGCATGTTCCAAGTGAAAACTCCTGCAGCTGAATTCTTTCCTACACGATAAGATGGTGCTTTTTGTTCAGAATTGTTCACGCATTTGATAAAAACTTGATGAATTATATTCTTCCAAATTATAAGTTTACTTACAATAAGTCCTGGTTTCCGGAGCTTTAAGCGTTTCTAGACTCACAAAAGAAAGAAAAGGTTAATCAGTTCTAAAGTGGTCTGATTTGGCCATAGAAAAACAATTGATGTTCACCCAAGACATGAAGAAAGCTAAGCAGCAATATCTGTGTTAAACAAGATTAGAAACAACCGGGAAAGGCCAGGGAAATATCACCTCGAATATAGCTGATAGCCTTCTTGAAAGCTTTGGGTTGTAATAGTTGAACCAAACTTGTGTCAACAGCTTATTCAGCCACTCACAGGGCTCAAATGGTGTGATGGGCTGTACAGGAAGTTGAAGTCATGTTCACAATGCTCTTGGGTAATTTAAAATGAAGAAAAGAGAAGGGAAAATATACCGAGGTATTCAGAACGACTCGCTTCCATTTATTATTCAATTCCTCCGCAAGTAGTTTGCATTGATAAATCCCATACTGTAAACAAAAAGATCAGTGTCTCCCCAAATGATAAATGAGGCCCCAAGGTCCATCCTTTCCCATGTGAACAAATTTTATAACCTTGAAAACAGGAAAAGAGAAAAGGAGCAGTGGAAATGTGAAATAAGAGAAACAACACCTGTCTAGTGGCGCATACAGCGAGTGCAAGCGGAATCCAAGTGGCTAAAGAGAATAGCCATCTCTCAATTGCCCAAACAATCAATATGAGAGGAATAAACAATAGAACCCGGGGCTTCTCCTGCAGAATATGGTTCAGGAAATCTTCAGTCGCCCTCTCAAGACTAAGAAGGAACCTTTTCCTTCTACTCTGCCTTCTTTTTCTGGTCATTACAGAAAACTACTCCGAAAACATCACAGAAATAACAGATCTTTTTCTTCTTTCGGTTGTTCCCTTTGTCAGCATTTGCCATCCATAACGCTGGGAGGGAAAAAAACAAAACCCTGGATGAAAATTATGGGAAAAGGGGTTGCAGAGTTGAATTAAAATCGAAAGAATATATATTTCTCGGCCGAGCAAGAACCTTGAAGGAGCTGAGAAAACGGGGGATAGCGCATTTTGGGTTGACGGAAGGAGAGGAGAGATGGAAATGGGGGGAAAAAATGGCAGAGATAAACGACGTCATAACATAAACGATCACATCACAACCAAATTCGCGCGCATCACTGTACGGACAATCTTCATGTCTGGATAATTAAGAGAAGGTGGCTAAATTAAAAACATGTCAAGCTTTTGAGTTTCGATTTCAGGTCCCACCTTCTTCGTTTGAAATCGAGGGTCCTGGTTGCATGGCAGGCTATTGGGCATGGACCTCCATACGTGCGACCTCGACGTATACGAGGAATGTTGAAGCTCAGCTGCTTCCGTTTGAACAATGACACGTGTAGCTCACGGAGGCGAGAAACAAATGACAAAGTCATAAAAGGAGAAAAGTTGCTTTTAAAATTTTAGAAATTTTTTTTAGACTTTTATTGGCAAAAATAATTTTAAAAAATTAGTTAGGCAATACTGTAAATTTTTAATTATAGCTTCTTTAAAATTAAAAAAATTCCGGACTCATTCTCATCCTGCCTGCATATATTATATAAATATTTTATATTACTTCATATCCCGTCCTTAATGATGACACAATAATGTTAACACTGTCGAAAATTTTCCATTTGTAAATTAATAACAATAAATAGATAAAATTATGTTAAATGGATTAGGTCCCATCAAATAAAATAAATTATAATGTTTTATGATGTTCGATTGAGGGAGTGATTTAGATATAATTGATCTGTAAACATGGTTTAAGGCAAAACTGCAATTAGCCAAAAGTATTCAAGAAACGCTACACAAGCGTATGTACAGAACATGACAAAGAATTTCATCCTTGGGGACACTAGTTCCTTTTCTTGTCGTCGTTATCTCTTTCAAGCACAAAAGGCGCCGCAGGTATACTGAACCACCATTCCTGGAGTCTCCTGGACCGTCTCTCCGTGGTAGCTTTTCTTGGCGGCGAATACCTTGTGAATATCTCCAAAAACACAACTAGAACTATGTATTTACTGGGCAACAAAGCCAGAACCAAGGCCGTTGCTACAAGAGCAAAGGCAAACTTCTCCGTGGCCTGATTATCAAATAAGAGAGATCATGAATTACATTTTAACATGTACCAGAACTTCCTGAAATGTAGAGGGTATGAGAGAAGAACCTGAGGGAAAATAGAGAGAAATAAGCCACGTAGTTTGAGCAAAATGACGTTACCATACTTCACCAACTGTTCGCCGTGAGTGATGGCATTCTGAACAGCCAGAAGCTGCTCCATGGTATTCATTGGAGGAGGAGCTATTACTTTAACTCCTTCCACAGGCCTACCCTGGCTAAAATATCTTGTCATTATCATAAAAGCTGAAAGGAACAGAAGCATCAGTGCTACCGCATACCCAATCCATCCCCTGCGATTCAGGCCATCTAAAATTTATTATCAACTGAAGGAAAGCCAATGAATTTCCAACATAGATTGCGACAACACTATCGCTAAAAAACAAGCTAAATTTGAACCTAGTCATATTATATCCCACGCCCACTTGCTTTATGATTGACAAGAGGAAGATTGACAGGGCAGAGAACATTATGAGGACCTGTGTACTGAGCACTATAAGATTCAAGATTAAATTATTAGCTAGTTTTAATTGATAACAATAGACAATAGTTTTCTCATCTTAACAATTTGGATTGAAAATATGGCTCAGCCTCAAGATGAGCCAAAGTAAAACCACTGAACCTTCATATTTGTTGCTGCATTCCGGATAAACATTCTCAGAAGCTCCATGCTTACTAAGTTATGTCGAAACCTTCTCCCATCACTATAGATAGCATCCATGCCTCGGATTATAAGGATTTTAATTTAGACATGTAAACTAAAATAATTGAAGGTATCTCACAAGAAATCATTTTTCCAATTTCTGCTATATATCTACAATTCTCAGGATATATAAACTCTCACACGTCTTGAAAAATATTAGGTTAGCTGCAAAGTAATCACTTGAAGTTTTACCTGGAGATAATATAAATGAAGACCAAACAGAGTCCCAGAGACTTCCACGGATCATCCCAATATGCTAAAGATTTAAGAGACTTCCCAAGTTCATCTATGGGATAAAGTAGCTCCTGCAAGTAAAGTAGTGAATAATAATTAGCAGTGTCAAAAAGGATAATTTCAGGGAACTGTACCTTTAGTCTTTAGTTCCTAGCATTGCACGAGAATAAAATTTAGTTCTATCAAAAAGGTGTTGTTTAGAAAATGATAAGCAATGCATATTTACTGTGAAAATAAAAGACCCATTTATAAAAGGAGAAGGTAAATAAAATAATACCTTCATGACAGCCAAGTTAGTGTCAATACCATCAACTTTAACTCCATCAACTGTTGCCTTTGCAGATTCTACCTTTTTGTAGTTGCTCTTTGATTCTTTAACTTCTCTTTTCCAATGAAGTCATTTCTCCAACAGATATCTCGCCCACAGCAAGCCTGCTTTCTTTGGAGGTGTTTGTACTTGTACCAAAAACAAATCCCAAGTTAGGAACCATGTCTAAAGCTGAGATGGAATTCATTACACTTCCAGCCCTAGAATCACTGCTGCAATCTAAATCCCTTAAGTTTGACATATTTGCAAAGGATTCTAATATCAAGTCTCCGCCTGGAAGTTGATCGCAAAGATTAAACATCAGAAGAGCCTTGAACTCTTTAGGGATTGCAGAGCTAATATCTTGAATGGCTTGTAAACGCAAAACTCCTAAAACAGCCTTCAAAAGTACTTCATTGCGAGCAACTCCTTTGATGTTATACTTGTTTATAAATTTATGAACAAACAGAATCTCTTGTATGATAGCTAACCAGTAATCACGACGAGCATGACCTTTAAACTCTGGAAATTCCATAACAACTGGTTCTGATCTACAAGAGAAACATTTTTTGAAGTTAATACCAATTAGTGCCACAACAATCAACAAAAAGAGATAAAAACAGAGATATCATGATGCAAAGTAAACAATAACATATGACATATTTGCTCCACGAATAATTGTACTTTTACTTACAGGGATGCTGAGTTATAGAAGACTGCCTTGTCAAAAAGTCGAGTACCCAATCGCCCAGTCATCTCAGGTTTAATGACCTGTTTTAGATCATCCGCTAAATCATATTTCTTTGGCTTGTCATATTTTACAACAAGAAGTGCTTCAAAATAAAGTGCATGGTCTGTCAGGATTAGCCGGCCTGCATGCACATGGAAAAAAAAAAAATTCACTAAAACTTTGAAATTAGCATGAATGCTTCCAATTCATCTACAAAAATATAGAGTCTAGAAGAGCATATTCATAGGATATATGGTATCAGAAAATGTTTGTCAAAGCAACTCACCTGGCCATGCAGATAATCCTACATGTTCAAGCACTGGTTGTGTAGTGACTGTTCCATCAACCTCCAGAATCTTCTCACCTCTAGATGATCGAAGGGCAGAGAGTAGAGATGAGTCTGAATTGCTCCTCATTTTTCTTATTGCTCTGTAAAGGTAATATCCTTATTAAAAGAATTCCGAGATGCAGTAAAAAGAGAAAAAGATAAATCCTCAAACATGTAGAAAATGCACAGAATGTTGCTGCATAAAATAAACACACAAGTCAAAGGAAGATGAGGCAACGGTCACAAGTTTTAACCTTTCTAGACCACTTAGGTACTTGTCATAGACAGAGAACTTTAGGCGTCCACCGGTTGATGCACTCAGCACGTCAAAAATATTTTCACTTATGATGACATTAGCAATGATTGGAACTGCAGGAGCTATTCGACAGAAAGCTTCTAAACCAACTGATATGTCCTCATCCACCTTCAAGAAAATTTGAGGCCCATCATTATTAAGAAGGCCAGAATATTATAGACACCACAAAAAAGCTAGAACATTTGAGATGCAAGGTTTATACAGATCAGGAAGGCACATTTTTAAGGTAAGTTATATTTATTTGACAAGTTGCATAAATTTATGATGCTAATATGTGGAGAAACATGTTTCGGACAATATGATACATTTTGTATAAACTAGAATATGGGTACTTCTAGTAACGGAAAATAAAATATCAAAATTCTACTTATAAATATAAAATTAATATAAATTGTAAAATTTATAGCAAGCTACATTATTATAAGTCATAAACAATGTCAGTACGTCACCCATCTTAGACTTTGACCAATATTCAAGAAAATGTATCTAGCTTAATAACTAATATGACTTCTGCAGTTAGAAAATTCATATAATATATCATTAAAATACATGGAATTCACATAGTCAAATGTTTTATTCAGTTTACAATTTATAATGGTTTCAGCAAGTTTTTTGGTGCTTCAAAACAAATTGAAGTGGATTAGAAACAATTCAAATCACTTTCAATCCATTTTGGAATTAACAAAAATTTTGGCCAAAATATTTTTCAGAGCAAAAAGCGGACACAGAGACTAGTGTACAGTACAAGAAACCGATACAAATACAGCAGCCAAAAAATGATGAAGCTTCTTAGGCCAAAAGAAAGTAGGTTAACCCAAAACCAAATTCAGAGAATAACAAAGAATTACTTTCTATTAAGATTAATTCAACAATTGATATCAATCAAGAACAGTAATTAGCATAGATGAAAGAACATTGTTCAGTTAAGAAATTCCAGACGCCACAATTCTGATATTGTGCACACAAATATAGGCACACAACAAGACGACATTCTACATGTAATTCCAAAACTTCTTTCTGGATTACTGTGATAACATTTACAAGACTCGAAGAAAAATCAACTTGCTCTTCAGGAAAACATACATTAATTAAAGGTCGGTCAGCAGCATCTGGGATCTCCCAGGCTATCATCATGTCATATGTCAAGCGTCGGAACATTTTATCAGGCAGATGACCACTCACTTGTGCTGACAAAGCAAGTGCCCTGAAGCAGCAATATTCCAAAAAATTTCTTGCAAATCGCAATGGTTGCTTTATAGAATCAGAAGCCTCTTGATCGAAGCCCTCTTGAAGCTCACTTGAAGAGATTCCAAGGGTTCTGCATTATTTGTTTTAGATTACAGCCAAATTTCCAATCATAATCACCGGCCACTGTGTCAAAGGGACAAATATGAAGAATGATAGATTACCTAATAGTTTATGTTTGGACTCAATCCTAAATATTTTGAGATATTATTTCTCTCTCCCTGCTTTTTTTTTTTTTAATACACGAAATAACATTACTCTTAATGAAGCTTCATTTATAGCTGCGGTATCTCTGAATCCTCCTGTATCATCTTTAATTTTATTTCCAAGTCTTCTTCTATTTTAGCATTAGGTATTACTCCAGCCATAGTTACAAGGGGAAGCTTAGTGAAAGCACATTAATATGACTCTGAAAATCAACTCATGTACACCAGTACACTCGTGTCTACGAGGAGGGAAAATCTCTTCACAAAGTGTTTTTCATTCAAATTTGTCTACATACCCTATCACGCTTACAATTTATACAACAATGTCATTATTAAATTAGTTACTAAAAATAATGATAATTACTAATAACTTTTGGATCCCTTCATAGGTTTCTATAAGCAAATGAGATAAGACATCCAGAATTGTACGTACTTGGAGCATCTACGAACAACTATGTTAGCAATTGGAGAGAGCTCGTGTATCCAATTGCTCCCAGCAGATGGTGAGTTTCTCATCTCCTCAAATTCTTCGTCAAAATAACTGCTCTTGCCAAGCAACCATTTAAAGGATCCTTCTCTTACCAGGCGTTCAAGCAAGTTTCCAGTTTTACCCGCAACAGCCATCTCTTTTCTCCACACTATTTTGTCAAGTTCTTAAAATGATACCGACTATGGGATTTCTGTAACAGTTCTTGCATCCATTGGTCTTTCCAATAAGAAGTTGCATCAAGACGAATCCTTAAAATCGACCCATCAAAGATTCAACCAATCAAAATCCATCTTTATGATAATTCAGATAGAGCACAGACTTCCAGAGAAACCAGGATAGAGAAGCAAAGAACAATTTGTCAATAGATATAGAAACAAACTAAACTGCATCAGTTCTTACAACCCCTGGAACTTATCAGGAGTCACAAAATGGGGCTCAATAGATACGATTTAGTCCACTTGGTAGGCAGTGACGATACACTAACCAACAAGGAATAAGCATGTTTGGGATAAACGCCAAGGTAATTAACATCCTTTGAAACCCAGACAGGAAATAAAAGAGTGTTGCGACGACCTGAATAAACCAACAATTTCTCATCGAAATTCCAAATCCACGGAGAAGAATTAAATAACAAAATCACACCATTCGTTTACCCAAAAAGCTGTACTGAGCACTACCGACGTGACCCGTCTCAAAATGCTGACTCGCACAGCAAAAGAATATCTCAACTTCTAAGCAAAGGAGATAAAAACTTCAACTTCTGCCAATTTTCCCGAATCAGGCCGTCGATCTCAGACAAAAAGAATTGCGAAACAAACCTTATCGAAAAGTTGCGACATTCATAGGATCACAGTGACTGATAAACTATTAGAGGGAGGCCGACGGCGGGCAATGCCAAAGAAGAGACATGCAAGATTCTGTCTTGAATTGTGGGTTTTTTTTTTTTTTTTTGGTCTGCAAATTGTGGGTTTATTAATGTACAAGAGTACAAGGGGGACCTGAAACTAAAAGACAAAGACGCCTTCCCTATCAGAATAGCATGTTTGAGTGATAATCCAGAATAAGTGGGATAGAATCGAGAGTTTCCGGCGCACGGAGCCTGTTGGTCTGATTCGCGGTTTTTTTTTTTTTTTTAATTCTTTGTTTGCGTTAATTTAATTGCTGGCTGGACGTATTACACCGTTTTTTCTTTTTATCATCCCACAATTTACATTTCTTTTCAGAAGAATAACATATACTATATCTCAAGATAATTAATTAATTTACAGTGAGTTTTAAAGTGCTCAATTTCAAAAATTTATAAGTTTAGATTTTAATTTTATAATTTTTTGTGATTGTAACAAATTTACAACTTGTGTACTAAATTTTAATAAAAAATAAATTTATTTTTTTAATTATGTTAAAATTTAAAAAAATAAGTTACAAAATATCATAATAAAATTATAAAATTAAAAGTTAAACTTGTAATTTTTTAAAGTTTGATACTTGAATACTCACTTTAAATTATTTTTTTTACTAACACTTTAAATTAATTAATCTCCTTAAAATTTATCTGTCATTTCTCCATTTTTTTTATCAGCACACCTAAATACCTAGCAAAGTTTGGCAATGATGATTAGACTAATTCATGGCATCTTATTAATAGGAACGTGGAGGTATTTTCTTTGATTTAAAAAAAAAGTGTAACTATTTTCATAAATATTTTTTTTATAAGTCTGAAAGTTTTTATAAACAGTAATCCCTTCATTCAAAAATTTAAGATATTTTTTAAGGAATTAAATATTTAAAAATATAAAATATTTTTAGTTTTTCGAAGTGTAATGATTATTTTTTTTTCAATAGTACCCCTATTGATAATGACTTTATATTTATTATAAGATATTTAATAGGAGTAAATATAAAAAGATAGGATTAATTGAAAGTAAATAACTACTTTATTGAGAGTGAGATTCAGTTAAAAATATTTTATATTTTTTAATAAAATAAGTATTTTTTAACTGGTGAGATATGATAATCCTACCAATCCAATGACCCTGGAGCATTTCTTAACATCAAAAAAAAAAAAATCTTTTTTAATATATTATTTTGTTTTTTCCCCTATTTCACAAGTACTGCCAGTTTTTTTCTTTTGAAAAGCATTTTCTTTAATTATTGTAAAATAATTTCAACCGTTTTACATATTATAAATAATTTAATTTTTTATATAATAAAAATTGTGATATACTTTTTTTTGACCCATTTTTAATAATGATATGATTAAATTAAATATATTTATGTTAATAAAAAATCATAAAATTTTAAAAAATAATTTAAATATTATAAAATATTTTATATTTTAAAGTAAAAATTATTTTAAAAAAGTATCTTACAAATGAAATAGGAGAGAGCACTCCTTAACGAGCTCAAATTTTTTATTTTGCAGAAGTTTCTTCTATTACTGAATTCTTTTTTTTTTTTTCTTTTGGTCAAAAAAAGCACGGGATTCAATTATACTTTGCTGTTCCATTTATTCTGTTGCAGACACAAGTACTGACAGCTAGATCAGTGCTCATATCAAACAAACATTAAAAAGCGTGAAAACGTAGAAAGCAAGCATATAACCAACAATCAATCGCTTGTAATTAAAATTCGAGAGTTATTTTAGACTAAGGATACTGGTTAAGGATTGTAATAATACCTCTATCTATACTGGCTAGCTGGCATTTTGGTTTCGTTTGGTTATCCCAAAAAAAAAAAATTGAGAGTTATTTTAGACTAAATTAGTTACCAATAAGGGGGTGTTTGTTTTCAGTTTTTAAAGGCTAAAATGTCCATTTTCAAACTGTCTTTTATTTATTTGTAATAAGTAGTAAAGAAATCAAACTTTCATATCAAAATAAAACGATACTAATAAGGGTTGAGGCTAATTCTTCGGTGAATTAAGGTTTTAATCATTGTTGGGAGATGTATTTGTATTTAATACTAAATTGTGACTTAAATAGAATGAAAAGATACATATATGCAATAAAAAATTAAAAATAAATGCATAAATAAAATGATAACCACAAATAAGTTTACAATGTCAATTGTATTTATTCCATTCCTCATCGTCATCTTCATTATTTAAGCTAAAGTTGCCCACTACAGTTGAATTTCTTTTTTATTTTTTTTCTTTTCTTTTTCTCCTTTTGAGTTGATAAAGTCACACAGTTAAAATTATATAGGGAAAGTTTCAATAAGGGACCTTTAATCACATATAATCAAAAAGAGAACTCTTGAATTTTTAAGATTTCACTACAAGATCAGGTACTGAATTGAAATTATATTTGTGCCGAAAAAGATAAAATCGCCCTCATTTGAATGAATAACATATCGGAAATAAGACAATTTGCTTATTTTTATACTATATGTTATTTATTTATTTATGAAATGTTGTCCATTTCCTTACTTTACTTATTTATAGGCCTACTTTTACTTGATTTCATTCTAAGGACCATAAACAAGCAAAGTAGGGAAACAAACAATATTCTGTAAATAAATGAACAAGATACAGTATGAAAATGAATAAATTGTCTTATCATTAAACTAACACTTAGAATGAAATCAAGTGAAATTAAGGTTATAACCAAGTGATGTTAGGTAATTAACAACATTCTGTAAATAAATGAACAGCATATAGTATGAGAACAAACAAGTCCTCTTATTTATGGTATGTTGTTTGTTTAAATGAGAAAAAATTTATCATTTCTGTCACAAATTTAATTTCTTTTCCATACAAGGTTCTGTAGTGAAATTTTAGAAATTCCAAGGTCTTCTTTTTCATTATGTTCGGTCAAGGATCCTCACTTAAAATTTTTCCAATTGCATATTTACCAAAAAAAACAATAGGAGACACTTGAACGTAAAAAGTTTTTCTAAGGCCGATCATTAAAAATTTGGATAAATTAGCTCATTAGTAGAAAAAAATCTTGCGTCCAAAAAATATGGACCATATTTTTGAAAATTTGAGAGTATAGCCGATTCATATTGATATACAAAAAGTTTATTATTAATATATAAGGAATTTATCGTTGAAAATTTAAAAATTTATAAGCGGTTCATCATTTATATACAATGGTATATCATTGATAAATATAATAAATCAACCATAATGAAAAATATAATAAATATTGGTTGTTTGCTTGGTTTACTCTTGTGACATGAGCTATATTTGCAAGAATCCCTAAAAATTTTAATATTAAAACTATCCCTATTAGCTTGATGAATTTGCCAATCATTACAACGATTGGTTTTTTTTCTTAAAAAAAAAACGTAGTCATTAGATGTCACTCTATTGCGCATAAGAAGATTTCTAATGCTTCTAATAAGATTGACAAGAGATGATTAAGCGTGTATTTATTGTGTATGGGATGCAATTGAATTTATTTCTTTGTTACAATAATGACTAGAATAAAGTAGGATTTTTCCCCTGGCCTTAAGATCAAGAACTTGAAGTAAGCCAAGTGAACAACGACTTGCAAGCATAACAACCTCAATTGTGTAACACCCTCAAATTTACAAACCGATTTTTCGTAAATTATTAATTCAATAAATTATTTTTTTTTGAACCTTTATCATACCTTTATCATGGTAGAAAAATTTCTACCATGGTACATCCAAGACAATATACCACAGGTCTTAAAATATCTCAAAAAGCAATTAGAACCATGAGGGACAGACAGGATCCTCATGGCGTGATATTTAAATTAGGTCATGAATCAAGAGGGACAAACATAATCCTCTTAGTCAAATAAATACTTTTAATAAAAAGGATTAGAGTTTACATGCTTCACAAATAAGATATGTCCTAAGTTGGCACAAGATACATTGTATAATCCAAAATAAGAGGCAACGTAAAAGATGGTGTCTCATACACCATAATTACACCTCTGGTGCTTTCTCGACCGAACTCGCTCCTGTAAAAATATTAACCACGGGGAATGAGACTTAAAAGTCCCAGTAACCAAAAATTAATATGTAATGATGCATGCGGATGTAACTAATCATGCGATTGCTAAGTGGGCACATAAAACATTTAACCGAATAATACTTTCAAACAAACCGAACAAGTATTTAATTTGCATGACTGCACCTTATATCCTCCTTTTGCCATGCTTGGACGCCAAATCACCCAGCCAAAGGTGAGTTGGACCAAGTGACACGCCACTCATTGGGTCCAATAAGGGCTTACCACGTGGTAATAATTAACCGAACAAAAATTCCCATTAACACCATACATTAAAATACCCTGACAAGTCATGCATCATTCAAATATCCAAACAAGAATATATCCAAACAATAATATCTCATTATGATAAACAAAAATAAATTTTTAACCCACTTGGCAATAATTCCAAACAAGTATATACAGTATTTATTTTCAATACTTCATAATTTTTTCCAAACAACAAAACAACACATAACCATTCACAAACACACCCATCACAACACATTAATAATGGTTACCTTGTGTCTTGAATAACAAGTTTCCTTTCACAACTTCTTTTTCACCACTATTTTTGTCAATATAATCTACATAATTATTTCACAATACTATATATTAATTTTACATTAAAATAAATAACTCTAATTTAAAGAGTTAGAAAGTCTTAGATCTATAATCTATATTAACACTAATTTAAAATTTATGCCTCATTTAACTTCCCAAATTCTTTTTTAAAATTCTTGTACCCTAATACACTATTTTTTTTATCCTCAATTCACTTCTAGTATCACAATTTCATCCTTCTATATTCTAAAAATTCATCTAAAAATAAATTAAAAATTTTAGAATTATCCTGAAACCTCAAATCACCTTTCTATAACCTCAAAATACCTATTCATACTTAAATAAATATTTAATAATCATAGGTTTATCCCTACATCTCAGATTCCACATAAATTCAACCATATAGATCTAGATTTTAACTCAAAAATTCTTAAGCATGAGTTTCAACCTCAAGAAAATATTCTATAATATTTATTGTATCCCTAAGAGTTTTAACCTATACTTTTACTCCATCATATCATCAGATTAACTATCCTATAGAAAAAATTTTAATCAGAATATTTACTCTATCCTACAAAATAATCATATCACTAGAAAGCTAATATTATTTAGAAAATAACTATAAAATTAATTTTGTAATTAAATAAATTTTTAAATGCTAATCTAAACAGGAAAGTTAGAACATACTTGAAGAAAAAGAAAATAATCCCCCCTTGCGAGAAAACGCCGAGCAACATGAGAGGAAGAGAGAAAAATAATATAAAAATGAGATTGTGGTCCCAAAATTATATTAAAAAAAACTATAGGTTTGAATTTAATTATTCAAACCTTTGGGCCAAAAGTTGCAATTTTCTCTAAATTGCATCTTAGCCTTTCATGCTTCCTAATGCACACACCCCCTCCTTTTTATACATGAAGGCACCTCTTCTCTTCCCTCATCTAACCAATGTGGGACTTAGAAACAACAACCTTCCACCCCCCCTTTTTTTTGTTCCTTCTACTTTCTCTTTTTTTTTAACACACATAAAAAAATTATTTATGTATTATATCTTAACTAAATATTGCTTATGTGATTTTAAATTTAAATTTTTAAATTTATAATTAAATACCTAACCATAATATCATTTCTAAATAACCTCAAATAATATAAATTCCTATTATTATTATTATTTTTCCTCAAAACCTAAATTCCACAATTTCTTTATTATATAAAAATCAGGATGTTACAAATTACGTCCAGCTTTCCTAAGCAAAGAGGCCTGCAACAGTAAAGCCCATTCTATTAATTGAATTAAGTGGTGAAAGAGCTACTAATGTTTAAGGGACTAGCCTAATGGTAAGCATAATTTTTATTGATGCATAGCTTGGAAACAGTATAGTTTATTGCTATAGATGTTATATTATATAAAACTATCCACCCGTATATTGCATGGAATACAAGAGATGGCTCATTCAATACATGGCTTGTAAATTGCATAATGTATCATAGATTTTATGTTTTATATCAATGATATTAAATTACATGGTGATATTAGTAGTGATGTGACCTATTTATAAAAGGTTTTGGTTGAACTAGATATCAAATCCTTACAAGTTGCAAATACTCAACTTAGAGGAGCAGGCAAAATTATTCGAGGCTTATGACGTAATTGTAAAATATATAAATAGATTAGAAATTGAATGTTCATAAACAATAGGTGTGTCTGACCAAAAAAAAATGCAAGAGGTGTAGAAATTGGGGCAGAGATGTAAGGCTGAGAGTATAAATTCACTATTTAGGCCACTTAACCTTTTCCCACTCAACATATCCCCTCACTTTTGGCAATACATCAACAAAATGAAGTGATATTGTTTCTTCTTAGCTTTAAAGTCATTCCTTATTGTTTTTGGCCTCTATCCAACACACCCACTTTTCACTTACTCATGATTTGGCTTTTTAAACTTAGTGGATTTTCTTTTCTTTTTTTCTTTTTAATTGTATCAATTGTCTTACCAACTATGATCTTTCATTTCTACTTCAATATCCCATCCTTTATCCCTTAATTAATTCCTCTTCCACACCCAACTACTACTTCCAATTCTAAATCCACATCGAGGATACATGATTTGGGACCTTTTTGGTCCTTATTCATACACGCAACAAAAGACCCTGAGTCAAATAGTCTTTGAGATGAAGTTATATTGCCTCTGTCGTCTTTACACATTGTCCCATCCTCTTTCTCAGCATGCTTTGGCCCATTCAATCCTTTATCTTCTCTCCATTACATCCATACAATGCATTTAACCCCTCCTCCCTTTGGATTATACAATCACATCAAATATGTTGCAATCTTATAAACATCCCCCCAGTCATTCTACTTCATGAAATGGCAATGTCCTTAGGAATTTATGAATTCTTTTGTTTTTATGAGTTCCATTTCCCTACCCAACTTTTATTTAGATATGGCTTGAACTTTATCACATTACTAAAATTTGTTCTCATATTTGTTTAAACTGCTTATTATATTATAATATTATTACTACCCTTGATCCTACTAAACATGGACTTTTCAATTGAACCATGATCCCAACATTTTGTTTTGGCTTTGCGTGTCTAACTTGATGGAATAGACACAACCAAATAGGTATATTTTTTATAACAACTTTTGCATCCATCATTTTCCAACAATCCCAATACATAAAAATATAAGATGCTTTTAAATCAAATAATTAAATTGAAACGTTATTCCGAAAACTACAACTTCTTTTTACCCACTCCCTCTTCTTTGTTATTTGTACTTTAACTAGAATTTTGCACATACCAAGGACCAAACAAAAAGCTTATCATCTAGTGTAAATATAAAATATCTTCTCTAATCACTTTTTTTTTAATAGAGCAAGTAATTTAAATTCTAAATTTTAAGATATTCTAGCGGATATTTAAGTAATAAATTTGCACTTAATCATCACATTTACACTTTGTCGGTCAAAAACACATCTATGACTTTTTTATATGGTAGTAATAGATAACACTCATCTAAATCATGGCAGTTACTATTTGAAAGGGAAGTTGAAGTTATGCATAAATGGTTAGATCTGCAATTGCAACCACACTGTTAAAAGGAAAAGAAAAAGCATTTGAACTCTTAAGTTTTTGTTAACTTTCATACAATTTCTTCACATGTTTAAGGGATTATACAATTATGTGCTCTTGAGCTCATGTGAAGAAGTGGTTTGTGAGAAGTAACATCCAAAATTGAATTTAGAAGGGCTAGGTCGGTTGAAAATAAGAAATTCCTACGAAGCCTTCTCTCCCATGTTTAGATAACTCTTTTGCCTCAGCTGCCATTGCTCTCCGCCACAAACGAAACAAAATCGATAAAGAAGTTTGCTAAAGTGGTCAAATATTTATATATCAAACGTGCTTCTATTTTTAACTACCTCTTATCCATCACAACTATTTGAATATATTTATATACATGATGAAAAATCCTTGTATATTTATTTGGCGTGTTATGTCAATAATGTAGCAACACCATATATATAGATTAATCCTTTTATTGTTAGTATAGCCCAACACAATAGGGATCACATAATTTGAGCTTAAAGCTCATAACTAACCATTATTAAATCTTGTTTTTTTAAAAAAACAAAACATAATTTTGGACAATCCATATATATAGTAAGTACATACCGTAAGAGAATTTATATTATATATACACACTTATAAGATAACGCCCATTTTCTCATGATCAATCTTTTAGAGTTGGCACCTGCATTGTTTCCAAGGCATCTGTCTCTAAATTGAAGTCACAGAAGTTGCTTGCTACAATAAGCTTCACGGAGAGGAACTGGAAATAAAACCATGTGTAAATTTAATTTAAGGATATGTTTCATTAAAATTTATTTTTTAAGTTAGCAATGAATAAATCTTCTTGAACTTTTGATCACTTGCCTCCACTTGATGTTGCAAGGACTGAACATAGTTTATGATCTCATCCAACATTACGGTCATACCCATAGTCTACAAGTCCATTTACGAAGATGATAATATGATAGTGACAGTCGTATATTTTTACACAAACTAAGCTTTTGTGAAGAAATTTTATTTTACCTTGCAGCATCCTTGAACAATGTTTTGTGAAGAAATTTTATTTTACCTTGCAGCATCCTTGAACAATGTCCTGTAAGCACCCTAACTTCTCATTGATTTTCCCTCTTCTAACCTGAATCCAAACAAATGATAAATCTGGATTATTCCATGTTCATCTTGAACAAAGAAACAAGAAACAAGGTTCAGTCCGTTGAGTCTATCTATATTTGATAATTAAAACAATGATTAAATCAAGGTTAAATTTATTGGAAGATCTTTTTTGGTCTGAAAAATGGGGTTTCAAGAATTATACCCTTTCTGTTAAATAGTGATTATCAGTAGCTTGACCTCTTTTGGCTTTGACATGAACCACGTCCTTTGAATTGTCTACATCTGTTACATTGCTTTTTACCTTCTTACTTCTTTTAAAACTCTGAAAACGTGAAGGAAAAAAATGAAACTCTGTCCCACACATAAGTTGAAACGCCAATTCAAAACATACCATGTCGTCAGTATGAGATTTGTAGAGTTAATAGAGAAATAGTCCAAGAACTTACATTTTTCGTTTTGCTTCCACTCTCAAAAGGTGCAGGAGTTGAATTTGTGGAATTGGTCTGTAGCACATCTGTTGGTTTCCTCTTTTTACTTTCATGAACTTCATTTTCCCCAGGAAAATTGGGCGAAGAAACTGGAACAGCATTGTGGTTGACATGATGGACAAGGCTAGGAAAAATTTCCTCCAATTTTCTTTCAAATTGAGGCTGAGGGGAGGCTAAGGAGGTGTCACAGGAGAAAGAAATCAAGCTTTGAAAATGAAGAGCTGAGTTGTCCAAGACACATGGCCTCATCCCTGTGAATTGGTTTATCAGTTCCATGCTTGGATCAATATCTAAGAAATGAAAAGATGATCTAAACGCTTGCAAATCTGTTGCAAATTCGGCCATGTGAATCCTAACAACCGAGTTGTTAAGAGGTTGAGGCTGTTAGTATCTGGATAATGTGGGATATACTGCTATTTATGTTGAGGAATTGCAGCTACATAGACGAAGTGAGAAACCTCAAGCTTGAGTAGCCATGTCCCTCTAGTTGGTCCCACGCATAGGGAAATTTGCACGCTGACAATATGGGCCCCATGTTTTGGAAGAAAAGCATTGTCTGCATTTTGGAGCTTTTTAATAGGGGATCCCTTGATATCTATTATCTAATTCTTATTGTATTTTTTCAATGGGGAAAAGAAGTGTTTAGTGATGGGAAAGCACGGTCCAGGTGCAAGCTCTACTAAAACATGAATATTGTGAGTTTTTTCTCTTCCCCTCTAATTTTATATGTCTTTTTATTTGCAGGAGCCTTCTTTTGTCTTTTTAGTGTGAATTTTACAACGGAACGTAATTTTCATTATCAATAAGAACTCCCCTACATTATTACAAGCAAATTCATTTTCATGTCTCTTTAATTATTCCAATACATTACTGAGTTTAGAAATAGTAAAGAGCAATAGTCGACCTTGAAATTATTGTAGACAATGTCGCAGAAAAGTGTACATAGAATAATTTCTAGCGGTCCCCATATCACAAGTACCTTTACTTGGCCAGCTATAACTTTTCTTAGCTTTATTGTACACAACCATATTACCGTGTGATAGTTTCTTGAATATTTTGAATATAGTTTATCCAAAGCGGTCTACTAGTTTCAATACGATGAACCTTGCACTCTTCCTCCACTCCTTTTACAAGCGATATTGTTGTTGAAAGCATAGTTTCATAATTGAGCATGTAAAGAGAAAGAAAGAAGGAGCAGGGTTACTTAGCTGTCAAGTTATGTTAAGAAGAGGGGGTTGCTGTTGAACCTTTCAATTAGTACTATTCGGCCATGCACTTTGAGGTCATAGTCTCTACTTTCTCCATCCCTCACACAGTTGCACTCTCGGTTTCTCTCTTATGGAGTCATGGTTGTCGCTCACGCCATGGTTCAAGCTCACCATACCAGTCACCCTCATGGCCTCACCCCTCAGCCTTCTTCTTTGAGTTCTAGTACTCTCTCTCATTCTTGCTCACAGTCACAAACTCACGGCTTACCAGTAGCAGTCACCCTCACCCCTTGGCCTTCTTCTTCTTCTTCTTTGACGAGTTTGAGTCTCTCTCACACTATCGTTAGCTCATTCTCAGTCTCTCTTAGCTTCTTTTTTCTGCCTTGTGCCTGGGAGTATGCATTCGTCCTTGCTATAGTCGTCACTTATCATTGGTCATCCTTAGTTGTTGGGCATCACTCATTGATGGTTGTCCCTAGTCGCCAATCCAAGTCGCTGCTTAGCTCGCCAACATCACTCTAGCTTCGCCTTCGTCATTGCTTCTTCTTTCTTCTCTTTATCGCTTCAGACTTGCAGATCATTTTTTTAGCATATAGAAACAATTTTTTTTAGCATACAGAAAGATTTTTTTTTTGACATAGTCAAGGAATATTATAAATTTTTCACTTATTAGTTGTAATTTTAAATTTAATATTTTTAGTCAAAAAATATATAAAAAATTTATACTTATTTTTATTATTAAATATCTCAACTGACTTTTAAATCAAATTATCCAAACGAATTTTAATTTATTTAATTAACTTTTGAAAAAAAAATATTCAAACATAAATTACGTTATGTTAATTGATTTTTTTTAACCTCAGTTTGCTAATTTTAGTTGAACCGTAATCTTAATTGTAAATTTTTTAATTCAAACACATTAAGTATCTGGGTGGACGATCCAGGTTTTCTTGGACCCAAAGGAGCGAAACAAAACCGAGTTCAAGCTGGATGCTTTTGCTGCAATATACAGGAAACTGTCAGGCAAAGATGTGTTTGAGTATCGTATTGCCGAAGCTTGAGGTCGTCTCCGTTGTCAGATTGAACATGTTCAAGAATTCCCAATGCTGGATGCTTGAAATTTTGTCCGCTGGTTGAAGGTTTAAGTCCTGTGCTCTGGTTTGATGGATGTAGATTTTTTTTTTTTCAAAGGAAAAATAATTTTTTTTCCTTTTTGACAATTTGTGATCGATTGGCATATTGTTGATGAAAACCTGTATAAATGGTTTGTTGAAGGACAATGCCTCATTTCCAGCCTTCATAACCCATGCATGGACACCACTTTTGTCATTTTGATGGACAAATTACGGCAACGGTCGTTGATCAAGTGATTAAACTAGAGTTTGATTAAAAAAAAAAAAAAGAGCATCGCTTTTGTAACTTTGTTTGGCGAAAGGAAGTTTAAATGAGTTTTCATTAAGAATTCATCAGAATAGAGGTATGTTTCTAGATGGCAAAAGTATATCCAAAAATGTACCATACAAATCACTTATTAATAAAATTTTCATATTAGCAATGAGATTTAATTTTACATCCTTGTGAATTATGGATTAAGCATTTTACTAACAAGATCAATTTTCGTTAACTATTTATTTTTTATTTCATAGGAAAATAATAATTTGATTGACTGAGTGATCTTTATTGCAGATGTAAAAATCAAACATTTATGCTTACCATCAATATATAATTTATAATTTTCAATAACGATTATTCACAAATCGTGAAAATACGATGTCTTTTCAACCAGTAAACTATCCTTTCAACTTCTTGATAGAATAACTCGACTTTGTTCATGTAGCTGGTCTAGATCTGCGCGCAGAGTTGATGCTTTAACAAATTAAGCATCTAATGTCTTCTATTTAGCTTTTCTTGTAGTTTGCACGGTCTTTCCGTGTCTCTGTCCTATCTCTACAAAAAGACTCAAATTTGTTCAATTGCTATCTCGGATCAAGAATTTGGAGTCTGGCCATGCGAAAATTTTATGTTAAAAAGTAACAGCCATTGAGAATCCCCAGCGCGGCAAGCGGCATCCTATGCAATCAGATTTATCAAATCATATTTTACTATAATATCTACAATATAACAAAAAGAATACCTTGGCATAAAATCTTTACAGAATGAGAATGGATGTTATCTTCCTTCATCAAAGGAAGAAGTAGAGATAGAATTTCTAGAATAGTCGTCTATCATACTAGTTCCCCCAGAAGCCTTGGTCGCACTAGTAGCATTAGTATTGGTGAAAGCAGATAATGAGGTCGTAGTCCAACGTCCTACACGGCCTTGAATTCCTGGTTTACCAGGTCTTGGCAAAGTGAACGAATCACTTGAGAGCATCAGATGAACAGCATTCATATCAGGTCTTTCTGATATACTTGCTTGACAGCACAGCAAACCCAGCTGAATGCACATCGCTGCCTCGTCACCATTGTATTTGGCGAGGCTTGTGTCAATTAAATCCATTATCTTTCCCGCCTGATATAGCTTCCATGCCTACGTATACACAAGAAACTTAGCTTTCAAATAAATATGTTACTTCAAGTAATGGCATGCTACTTCATTATTGCAAAATGGTCAAGGTTATACATCTCTACATCCTCCAAGAAAACCATATAAAAGCCAGCCCGACAGTCAAACATCAAATGCTTGATATGAATTAAGAACGCTACTGTTCATTAAAAAAAAAAAGAACACCACGCAACCATTTCATTGGCATGAGTCCGTAAAGAGCAACAGTAGGTTGTTGGCCACAAATGTAGTTACTATAACGAGTATGAGATATTGTCCATATCAACATCTCATGGACCTCTAACTTCAGTTTGCAGAATATTTTAAGAAATAAATTTTAACATGTCAAAAAAATGAATCAACTAAATAACTTAGGCACCAACATTCACGGATAAATTTGAATGCCCAAAAAAATGATTCATGACATGGGACCGCTTTCCCATTTTATCCTTCCATATATAAAGTGTGGAAATCCTAGCATCTGATCACAATTTTATAGCTAGAATCGTGGTCCATGCAAGAAACTTACATAGCTCAACAGATCTGCCTCCTCTTCACCAAGTAGCCGGTCATGGTTTTTTCTCCCACTAACAATTTCTAATACCAAGATTCCATAACTGAAAACATCTGTCTTCACAGACAAATATCCACGCATTGCATATTCAGGAGCCATGTAACCACTACATTCATCAAGGGTATAAATAGTAAGGGATAAGGATGCTTGTATCACAGGGACAAAGTGAAGTGAACCAGTTACTCACTGTGTACCAGAAATCTTAAATGTCTGCACATGAGTGTCATCCCCAGGAAATAGTCTTGCTAGGCCAAAGTCTGAAATTTTTGCACTTAACTTCTCATCCAGCAAAATGTTACTGGCTTTGATGTCTCTATGAATGATTCTTATCGGGGCCTCTTCATGCAAGTACAAAAGTCCTCTTGCCACACCTGTAACTATTCTAAATCGTGTTGCCCAGTCCAGAGATGGTAACTTTCCTTTATCTGAAAGTTTATATACGCATTAACCACTTACCACCAACAGCCAAGAAAGAAAATAGTAAAAAGAAAAAAAGGCATATTTTCCTGTGCGTTGGGTAGAAAGTGTTGCCTTACCAAAGAGAAAGTGATCAAGACTCTTGTTTGGAAGATACTCATAAACAAGCATCTTTTCAGGTCCTTCAGCACAACACCCATATAATGTAACCAAGTTCTTATGCTGAATTCTCAGCAGTAGTTTGACCTCATTGGTAAATTCTCTAACTCCTTGTCTTGATTCTAGAGACAGCTTCTTCACGGCTATTTCTTGACCATTTGGCATCAACCCCTGTAGAGCATGCATATGTTAATTGAATTATTGCATCCACGAACAAGCCCCTGAGAAGTCCCTCGGGTAGGTTGAACCAAGGAAGTAATATCGAAGAACACAAACCTCCCAGTCCCAATTAGCTCACTGTCTTCTCTTTTTTGTGTATGCATTTCCCCCACATTATATTTTTACTTTATTGACTGTTTAAAGAAGACAAATTACAAACCAGTAACTCATCTGCAACGTTATGATAACTCTAAAGCTTAAGTTACTTTTGCCTCACGCGATAAGTTAAATGCTTATAAACAAGATGGCTCCTTCGAAGTTACTGAGACATGAGGCAATAGCGGATGTTTCCCTCAAAATATGGTAACATGAAGCTTGAAAGGCATTAGAAGCTCACCATACTAACAAGATTTTGCTCCTACGGGAAGCGCAGCAAAGTCAACCAATGGACAATTATGATGATAATATTTTAAAATATTATGCTAGATAATGTTGTTGTTGTATACTAGATGACCAATATGGGATCTATATCCAAAAACTCATTATTGATAATTGATGTCGAAATTTTAATATCATATGAACTTGAAAAATCTAGGTATACAATATCTGAAAAATCCAAGATTTAGATGTTGTTTAAACAAGGGATTGTCGATCATGTCCAAACTCTTCATAAGCGAAATTTTAAGTACTTGGAAAACTAAATGTTCGAGTGTTGGATTATAGATCATTCTTTCAGTTCTTCCGATATATAATAATACACCTCGCCCTGTCAAAAAGATTAGAACATTGAAGCAATTTTCATGGAACGAACAGAGAAATAGTAGCTGCATTTATTCAAGGATGATTCTGCAAGCAAGCAAACAAACCAGGATCGAAAAGGGAAATTAGAGCAAGAAATTGCAAGCAGAAAGAAGCCCTCAGAACAAATAAGGAACAGTCGGATTGAGTTTTATGAGAGTAATCGTGGAAGGATGTCGAAGACAGACAAACCTTGTAAACAGGACCAAAACCTCCATGACCTAACTGGTTCAGCTCGGAGAAGAAGTTAGTGGCTAGCTGCAGAGTGTGGAGGTCGAAGAACAGGTCCCACGTGTCGGCAACATCGTTGGGTGGTTGAGGATGGGGAGAATCAGAGGCGGCGTTGGCCTTGAACCTCCTCTTCAAGCAGGGGCATAATCTAAACACAAAACTCATGGATTGCAGTAAGAGCACGAATTCCGCGGCGGCTTCACCAACGGCGACCTTCATATGTTGATTCTCCTCGTATACATGGAATGGAAATCCAAAATGCGAATTAGCTTCTCCAACAACGCGCGCGCTTTGAACTCCTCTTCTGCACACTTTTCTTTTTTTTTTTTTATCACCAGCGAACTCGCCTTCTGCATTTACTTTATGCATTTCACTTTGGTACGAAATTCATTTATGACTTTTATCATGACCTGATTTTGACCTTTTTACACGATCAAAAAAAATCATTTATGACATGTATTCAAAAAAAAAAATCATTTATAATGATTTTTTTTATAAATGATTTTTTTTTTGTGAAACAAAAAAATCGGTTGTGGCCTGTTGTTCGGATTAACAGGGAGAATTTCATTCAAGTGCTTTCATAAAAATTTAATTTTATATAAATTTAAAAAATTTTAAAATTTTAATTCACTCTAAGATATAAAAGTTAAAAGAATTTTTTTAATAAAAAATAAAATATACTTTACTTATTATACAAAATTATTAATTATTAATTTTTTTACTATACTTGTTAATTTATCAATATCATTTATAAATTACATTCGTTTGTCAGAAAATTAATAACATTAGTTATTAATTTACTAACTTTATTTATTAATTTACTAACATTAATTATAAATTATAAGATAGGTCTTGTAATTTATACTTTATGTTAGTAAATTAATAATTGATTTTGCTACTTATCATTAAAAATTTATGTTAAGTCTTATGTAATTATTGACATGTTAACTCATGTAATTTATAATTCATATTCGTAAATTAACAAGTAGAGTAAGAAAAATAATAACAAGTGATTATGTGTAATAAGTGAAAAATATTTTGATCTTTTTATCAATAACATTTTTTAACTTTTTTTCTTAAATTAAACTAAAATTTTAAAATTTTTTTGAACCTTCCTAAAATTAAGTCTCCACATAAGCATTTAACAGAAATTCCACCAGATTAATATTCACTCATGTGCTGAGGCTGTTCCTGTTTGGCTGTTTTCGTTCTAACTTGATGCCGGTGTTTGATTTTTTTTCCTCCGCACTTTTATTACAGTTTAGACTTATTCCGTTTAATGATTCACAATTGATTTTTTTCCTCTGTGCTCATGATCTGTAAAACAAGAAGCCTAGTTTATGAATTAATCAACAGTGATTGACAAGTCTCGCAAGAACACTGCCTTTAGGACCACAAGCATCAAAGGAATCCTTATGCCTTTTCTTTGGGGAAAAAAAAAAAATTGTTTGTTTGTTTGCTCAGCAAAATGTTGTCAGCTTCTTCGTTCCTCTAATTGCCTCCAGTCGCCACATTTTCCATTTAATGCCCATAATTATGGTGTCTTTCACTCTCAACTTCCATTCATGATTCATTACTCATTCAACCCACACCCACATGCTCCATAATTAGTAACTGCCTCTATCATTAAGCAACCCACTTTAATTAATTCATGGTTATGAATTAGTCACTGATCATCACTCTGATCCATGAAATAAATAGCTTCTCCCATTAGATATTATTAAAAAAGAATGCTATCTAGTTCAATTTTGAACTAGCTAGCTAGCCAGCTACACCAACAACTCATCAGAATAATCTCACAACTTCATATATGTACATGCTTATTACTTGTGATAAAAGTGAAAAAGATGGTAATTAAGTTGCATTGCCCAAAACAAAACAGTGATTTTTTCTCACGGCCATCATCTGTGAGAAAACACTCATAATTCTATTCGCATGGAATTTCTCAGACTAGCTAGGTATAGTTACCTGCCATAGCCTCTGGTTCCAAAGGTGAGATCCTCACAATAGTTTCAGCAGAAAAAGGTCGGGACGACGTCGTTGTGGATGAACCTATGATCTTATTACGGACACAATGCATGTATTAAAGCCCAAGGTAAGTTAGTCCCCGCAAATTTTACAAGTATATTGATATCGATGATGTGATTGTCATGTAATTTATTCACATTTTGTATTAGTTTTAGAGGGTCATATAGCATGTTTAAAGTTTTCATACTGAAATGATTTCTCTTTTATTTTTCGGCCAACGGTAAGCTAAGAGTATTTAAATACATTAATATGGACTATTATTCTCTGTATTTTGGAGTTTTGGATGTTGATACGTGTTACATTATAATTGTATGTAAACAGCAACAAGTCAAACTTTACGATAGAGCTGCATTTCATGTTGTTGTCAAGGATAATGTTACTGAATCCTTTAAATGCAAGTATGACTAGTCCTATTTTTATTTGTTTTGTTTTGTCAACAGATTAGAATCACTTAAGTCGTGTTATTTCATAGATATTATCAATATTTTCAGTTATTAATCTGAGAAGTATGTTGTGTCAATATTAGAAGCATAAAGGACATGATAGTAAAAATAAAAAAAAATAATCTTTTTTAGTTCTTCAACTTTTAACTTATTTATAACTCACTCCTTCATGTATGATTTGCTGCAACTCAATCCCCTAACTATGATTTGCTGTGACTCAATCTCTCAACTTTTAACTCACTTAAAACTTGGTTTTTATTTTTTAGATTTTGTAAAAATTATCCTTATCAAATAAGAGAAATAAAAAAATGCTCATATCTTACTCTAAAATACATTTCTCTTACTCTTTGATATGGAATTTAAGCTAGCATGAAAAAAGAAAACTAACAAACATTGAGAGACTAAATTATAAATAAGTCAAAAATTAATAGAATGAATCTTAATGAGTCATATTTGAAAAGCCTGTGTTATAAGTAATTTTTTTAAAAAACAAAATATGATTTGAACGTCAATAATTGAACACCCTGCTTCCACCGTAAGACTTGGACCTTGTTGGATTGTAGCAGTAGAATGATAGCAATGGATTTGTTGAATTAAATTTCCAGGTTGACTTTTCGTCTCTTCATTCATGATCAGGAACTTTCGATCTCATTACCTCCCTGGAAAAATCCACCTTTGTTTATTGCTTCAGGAATAATCGGGTTTGATCTTTCTTTCACAATGTAGTCAAGTCCAATGATGAAGCCAGGACTCCTGATATGGGTGTAGATAAATTTTAAAAATAATAATTCAAAAAAAATTATTTAACATTTTTAAAAAAATAATTATATATTTTATAATTGTTCCCTACTTATTGTCAAATGCTATTAAAAATATTTCCTTCTATATAAATCACTAATTTATGATATTATTTATATATAAAAATATATAATAATTAACCAAAGATTTAAAAAATTAAATAAATAAGTATATTCTTTTTAAAAATCATGTTGGAGTTTTAAATTTAGTGAATTCATAATTGAACTTAAGTTAAAACATTCATAAAAAAAAACTAGTTTTTAAGGGGTTTAAAATTTTGTAATTAAAGAAGATAAAATAATAAATTATTTACTATTTATGTATAATTTCTTTCAAGTCAAGAGAGTGCATATGCCCCTCTTCAAGTACACGTAGCTCCGTCACTATTCAAGTCATGGCCTATTTTATTTTATTCTTCTGGGAGATAATTTTAAAGATATTCTCTATTGCCAGCAAGATGTAATGCTAAAATGCTCAAGGACAAACCAAATGCACTTTACGATTAGATTATGTGGAAAGATAGAGTAGGAAGTTAAAAAGTGTAATGGTTGAGGGTTAAAACATTTCTCGTGCGCACGCACGCGTGAGGTTATGGGGTCCATTTGATTTTTTTGTGTTTCACATTTTAAAAATAAAATTTTATTTTTAGAAAGTTAAAAATTATTTAAATAAAATATTTTATAAAAAGTATATCCTAAAAATATATTTAAACAGTACCTGAAAATGAATTTTTAAAATATAACTATTTAAAATTTTTAAAAAGTAGATTTGAAAAGTAAGATATTATTTAACCATATTACTCCAAGTTTAATCTCTTATTTTTTTATTTAAAAAATATTTAATTTATTAAAAATATAATTATTATTTTAATAATAATAATTAGGTATCAATTTTTTAGCATTATAAATTAAATAATTAATTATGTTAATTTTCAGCATTAATGCATAATAAAAATTATAAATCTTTATCACATTTTTTAAAATTATAAATTAAAAAATATAAATAACTAGAGATTAAATTTTTAACATTATAGATCAAAATTTATGTACTTAAAATATTTATCATATTTTTTAAATATTTTAAATATATTACATTTGTATAATAAAAATTACAAATCATCATAAATTAATATTTTTTTTGGTAATTGTATATTCAAAAATACATTTTATTATCACAATCTAAATAATTTTTAGTGTTTCAAACTGACTTTTAAAAAAATATATCCAAACACAAATTTTATTACGACAATTAACTTTTACTAAACTAATTTTTAGCAAATAAACTTTTGTCAAATAAAATTTTGACAAATTAAAAACCAAATGCACATATAATATCTCATCTCATTCCCAACTAAATGTTGAATTTTTATTTTTGGGATATAATTCCCTTCCATTCACCTTCATGACGCCAATGGCTTCTTCTTCTTCTTCCTCCTCTTACTTCTACTCCTACATATTCCATTTCATGTTCCAATTCCTAACTTGTGGATTGTGGAATCACACACCTGCCTCCCTAGAATCATTCGTGTCCACCGAATGGAATGTTGGCGGTCTTTTCTTTCTCAACCAAAGCATGTTAGCATGTAGAAGCTTGAATCATGTCAAAATATGTTGGTTTTGAGGAATAGTGTACCGCATCAAATAAATAAATCATATTACTACAATCCCACGTAATTAAACAAACTCTTGTTGATTTAATCAGCAGGATCAGAATTATCCAAAATAAAAACAATGCAACTCAAAGAAATAGGAAGAGGAGATAGAAATGACAGGAGGATTAGGCAAGAGGGTTGTTTCTCAAAGGGAAAAATGATAACTCCACTGTACAGAAGTAGAATTGATGATGATAATTATTATATGATTTTAGTATACTAATGGTGTGCTGAATTAGGAGGTATATTCACAATAGTTTAACTAATATAATTAAAACATAATGAACCGACTTATTTCCTTTTGAAATACACAATCTTACCTACTAGTGAACGCATGGCTAACCAATGCCAGAGAGTAATACTAGCTAATGCCAACTACAAACAAATCATAAAGCTGTCATTGTATTTAGACGTGCAAACTAATTGGGCTCAAGTTTTTCACGATGGACGCCTGAGAGATAGGTGTACAAATCAGTGATGCAACTTGATTTGAAGATGACCATTAACCCACATGCCAAATACTCATTGCAGCAACTGTTGCTTCTGTCCAGTGTTAGATGAATGAGCCACTGACTAGAAAATCAAAGTAACAGATATTCCCCACAACTCTCTGGCTCTCTCTTGGAAACTTAGAAAAAAAGAACAGCACAAATTTTCCGAATGAACCTTCCACTATTTACCACCCAAACAGCTTGGTGTCCACTTTTCCTCTTTTCCGGGGCAAATGACTCTAAAGCACTCCCCAACTTCGCTCAAAAAGAAGGCATTCATCTTCCTTTCCTATTTGCGAAAGCAAACCAATTGAGCTGCTTCCAACAAACCCCACCCCCCCTTTTTTTAATACTTGTGCTGGGGAGTATTTGGTTGCAATACAGATAGGGAAAATAAGTATGATTATACTTCTCTGCTAGATTATTCATGTAGAATAGTCAATAGAAGATTGATTGGAGGATTTTCATGTATTACATTACATGTCACTAGGGGTTTATTACCTCCCATGCATGAAGTGAACCCCAACCACCATTTTTCTTTTTCTCTGTCTTTTTTCCCAAATACAAAATAAAAAGGAACACCTCTCACCTTGCTTCTATAAACAAAATGATAAACAGTTCCATTAAGGCTTCGAGGATACTTGTATAAACTAAAGAAATCTATGTATAACAAGCTAATTATTCTCCCACTGAGTAAAGGTAAAACTACACTGTATATATAAGTTCTTACTACCACGTTTATCTGTTTTCAAATCAATGCTAACCTTGAAGATTAAGATGCAAAACACCACTTTAATCAGCTTCAGAAGTCAGATACACATGATGCCTACGAAAAGAGTAAACTCAATAAACTTTGCCATTAAAATATTACCGGTGATTCTGCAAAGAAGAACAATATTGTTCTCAGAAAGATGCTTAATAACCCCAGTGCTTCCTGATTTTGAAGAACAACAGAAGCTTTGCAACCTACACAGTCAAAGGGTTGTTCACTTTCTTTGTTTTTTTTTTTTTTGGTCAGATGCTGTTCACTTTCTTGAATGAGTTTCGAAGATAGCAAGTGAATAAACATACAAGTGAAAAACTGCTAAATTTATTACAGCAGGCATCAGCCAAGTGATGGTAAACTGAAGATTTTTACAGAAGAGCAAAGCCAGTAATAAAAAGCCCGAGCGAGCAAATACATTCAAATATCAGATTTGGCTAGACATTAATGCAAGAGGTCCAGATATTCATGTTTGTTGAGGTACTTTTTTCCCCCTATTTACACGGATGATTTGACCATTGCCATTATTTATGTCACGGTGTGGAACAGTCAGCAAGCAAAATATCTGATACTTCCAGAAGGCAGAAACCAGTTTCATTATCATTTCAGCTCCTGCATGCCAATTAAATCAGAAACTATAGTTATCGATCCAATTCACTTCTGAAAATATAAACAGTGACAAACATACAACTACATATTTGTACCTCACTCTGGAACATCAGGCACCTTGTATGATTCGGCGGTGACCTCGGTCAGCCACAATCCAGGAAAAAGTGTCTGCCAGTGTTGAACCCCAAAACAGTTATGAGCAGAAATGTAGGTAATGTAAGACGTAAATATGAGCTTTGTGACATAACCAGGCAAAAATAACCGAAGAAGACAACTGTCTTGTTTGCTTTACGGAAAAGCCGAGAGAGGAACATTAAAAATAAAGCCGAGAGAAGTTTTCAGCCTTCGACAACAAAACCAGAATTCTTTCAGCACATGTTGAGCAGATTTTCATTTTTCTCTCACACCTTCTAGCCATGGAAGCATAATGAGTATCAAAGTTCAAAAACCCTTGCAGCGACTTACATCTAATTGTCTCTGCACAATCCTAGGCCTCTTCTTAGGTCTTCTCGGAGGCCTCGTTCCAACCATGGCCAAGAAATCTTCTTCAACATCTTCCTTCGATAACGAAACCGAAAATTTGGTTTTCTCATTCTTCGCCACGCTGACTGGGTTCTCCTTGGTCACTGCAGCTTCTACAACCTTCGTCGGCAAAGAAGACGAATTGCACTTGCGCTCTTCTTCATGGGGAGCCTTACAAGCAGCTCTTCTTGTCCTCAAATTCCAAGGCCTAGCAATGGCTGCCGTTTCGTCCTCGACGGCTCCTTCTTCAAGAATCGAAACTTTGAGCTTCTTAGCCGCCACTCTGAGATCGATCATGAGCTTCTCGCGAACCGCCTCGATATTAATCTCAGCATCTTCCCATGAATTGGAATTACGTTTCGGATTGGAAGGTCGACGGTTGATTTGTCTGTGTAGGGAATTACCCGAATTCGACAGGGATCGCGAAGATCCGCGATCAAAAGAGGAAGGTTCTGCGGCCTTGGGGGAGACTTTGACACACCTGAGGAATCTTTGGTTGCCCCATTTCAAGCATGGAAATGAGAAGTTGTGCAATGGCTTTGATGATCTTTCAGTCCTCGTAGCCATGATAGCTTCTCAACACTCGTGTCCTACACTGTCGAAGAGATGCTATTTCCTTCTCTTTCTAGTGCTGAAGTCAGTTAATCTGGGTAAAGCTCTTGTTTTTCAAGTCTTCGTTTTCCTGTCTCTGAGGTCCTCGTTGGTGAATGTTTTGCTGGGAATCGAGGAATATATTGATTCCAAGAGATTGGAGAGAGTATTTCCTGTTTGGGTCTGAAAATCAATGGGAGGGGAGGATTTATACGAATACAATACACGCTCTCCCTCTCTCTCTCTCTCTCACACACACACAAAAGAAAGATATGAAACGATGACAGGGAGAAGCCGAGAGCGGTTTAACGTTCGGTGGGAGTTTGGGTAGCTCTCACAAACCATATGGCTTGGTATTTAATTTCCAGAGACTTCTCTAGTCCTCTTGCATTCATCTTGTTCTCCTCAATTAATCATTTTTTTTATTTTTAACTTCATAAAATTAATTAAAGAATTGTAGTCAGTAATTTTAATTTTATAAAAATTATTTTTTAAAATACTTCAATCATAATTAAGAAAGGTTCTGATTCTAATCAAATTTTATTAAAAAAAATTCTGATAACTAGATTTTACACCATATCTCCTCTCTATTTAGCCAGGATGGAGGAAGTGTAAAATAAGATAAAAGATTTTATAAGTTAAAGTTTAAAGATTAGATTACATTCAAATTAAAATTATGACAAATTAAAATTTAGAGACTCAATTACAATATAAGAAAAAACTATAAAAACTAAATAATTATTTTTTAAAATAAATAAATTAAATTACAAATTTTTAATAGAGAGAGAGTAAGAGTAAAAAATTAATTAAAACTTTAAACTCACCTCTTTATTTTTTAAAATTGAATTCATTAAAATATTTTCATTTGACTCAATTAAATAGTCATATAATAGACATATATATATCTTCCCTTTTTCTCTCCTCATTATGATTCCCCTCAAACTAAACAACCTATAACTTTTTTTTTTTGCCAAAACAAACTATAAAAATAAAGAGAAGTTAAATATTATGTAAATATTTAAAAATAAAGTAATAGTAGCTGGAAGGTGTGAAATAATACCAAAAATACAAATAAAAAATTTTTTTATTTTAAAAATTGTTACCTTGTTATACTTAAATGTAAACAATAATTTATTTTAGTTTATAAATTGTTGTGTCCATGCCAATTAAAAACATCACACATTTTTTTGGCTTGAGAATTTGTTTTAGATAACATGTTTCACTTTATATTATACTACCCTGTAGTACATATTAATTAAGAATATTAATAATAACTTGTTCTACTTTCAACACCGAGTATTTTAAAATGTTTTACCTTTAACGTATTAAAAATATAAAAATAATTTATTCTTTTAAAATTTGTGATCTACACATAAATCAAAATTTAAACAATGCATTCTAACTTATAATTTATTACCTTGTATATTTAAATATCTACTAATTTTATTTTAGGATTTATCATCTTATGCATATTAAAAATATAAATTGAATTTTAGGGATAATCGCATCCAAAAATCTTTAAAAAAATTATTTACAAACAATGACAAAAAACAAATCACCATTTAAAAAAAAACAAGTTTTTATTGCTATTTTAACAATAAATAATTTTGTATTGGTTATTGCCTGGGAATAATTCTCTTGGAAGGTTATTAAATGTGTGATTCTCCCTTTATTTTATTTTAGAATATTTCACCCATGGAAATTAAAATCTAGATAACAACTTGCTTCATTTTATAATTTATTATCTCATGCATGTTAAAAACCTTTTTTTACCAGCCTTGCATGTTAAAAACTTAAATGACATATTTTGTATATAAGTTATTTAAAAAATTAAAAGATGCTTGGAAAGTTCATAAATTAAATATATGTGTGTATATGTATATATATATTAAAATGATATCATAAAATCTAGATAAAACATGTTCTATTTTTATTTTTTTGAATACAAGGAGACGAACAAAGCTGTGCAAGGATTACAGAAGTCAGGTCAAATCAAAGTTTAGGATGGACCTGCAAGCTATAGGTGGTTCATTATAAATAATGAGATCATAATTTTCAAGAAAGGTTTCACATGCGAGCAGATCAGCGCATTTGTTTACTTCTCTAAAGTCATGATCAAAGATGATTGTCCAATTTTTCATAACAAGTTCCTTGATTTTCTTCATGTTTGATGTTAAAAAATGACTAACAGAGAAGCTATGCTAGATAAGTGAGAGAGCTTCCATAGAATTAGTGTGTAAATTAATCTTAATAAGTTTAACATTCCAACCAAGTTGAAAACCTTATAAAATGCCTAATAATTTAACTACAATACTAGGTTGGTAGCCAAAATATTTAAAAAATCCCATGATTGAATTTCTTTTCTTATCGCAAAAGACTCCATCACAAATTGTTGCCCCAAAAGAATTAATAGAACCTTCGATATTGAGTCTGACTCACCCTGCTTTCAAAGGATACCATTTAATTTCATATCTAAGTCTATCTTTAAAATATTAAATCCAATGGCTTTAAGAATTCATAAGTTTGACACCCAAAAAATTTACAACTTTATTACAATAAAGTTATAATTTATTTTTCAAATTTTGATAGGAAATACAAATGATCACCTTTATATATATATATATATATATATAAGATAATATTAACAAAAAAATGGATATATCAGAATATGGGTGGGTTTATCGATAAAATAAATAAATCCTTCATTTTTTTCATTATCTATTAATTATTCTTTAACCTTATTAACATTTAAAAAATAAAATAAAAATTTATTACAATAAAATTGTAAAATTTAAAGTTAAATTTACAAATCTTAAAGTTGTTAGACTTGATATCTTATTATGAAGGATCAAAAACTTTGTTGACACTTTAAAATTAGTTAAAACTGAACTTAAATTAATTAATTCTTTGAGACCTAACTGTCATTTTCACCCCAAAACAAAAACTTATAGAACGATTTTATTAAGGCCTTCCTCGAGTATTACTTTCTAGCTGGCTTTCAGCTTTTGTATCTTACATCGTAAAGAACAGAAATATGGATCCAAGCCGCAGAAGAATTGAAATTTGAAACCAAGACATCCTTGAAGATACCTCAAGTCCTCAGTGCAGAGGAGCTGCGAAAGCATCTATTGCCCAAAAAGAGGGAGTGGGGAGGGTGGGGGCAACGGGAAGAAAGTTGGTTCGTATTCTATACATCAAATGATATAAAGAGATAAGACGCTTCTACATCCGGCTCATGAGAAAACAAACTCGCAAGAGGCCTCTATTGGAAGTGACTCACTTCGCTATGTATAAGATGATTAGATTAAAAAAAGGACCAGGTCGTTGGTTTGGGGGGGAATTTTGAATTGCCTATACAGCTATTTACAAACTCTATCCCCCTCTGTCCTAAGAAGCAGACTAGGAGCAGATGGAATTTGTTGACTCAGACTTGATCACTCGGGTATTGTATGAGCCACAGAAACCACATTTGTGATATAACCAGTGGAAGCGTGAAGAGCCCTTTCGATCACAATCATTGCATAGTATATCCTGCATTTCCATTACAAAAATGACCCACAGAAATAGCACAAATCATCACTGTTAGATGTCTTTCTATAGGAACAGCTCTCGGTTCTGTAACAATGGCCACATCATGCAAATACTACTTATATAAATATTACAGTTGATGCTTTATATGAAGCATTTCATCTGGTTTTGCGAAGTCAAGAGAAGAGCTGTTTCAATATTGTAAGTCGAGGGAGAAAGGAAAATTGTGCAACAATAGAACAAATTTGTTATTAACAAGCACAATTAACAAGCTAGTCAAATTATTTTGGATATCAATCTTAATTCATTTTTCAAATTATACTTCAAGCAAAAAAGTTTAAATATTTGAGAGCCATTATTCAAAATAATGGCGAAATTAGTGGGGATACTTCACATAGAATTCAAGTTGGGTGGTTTAATTGGAGAAAAGTTAAAGGAATTATTTGCAACCGTAAGGTGCCTAATAAACTTAAAGGAAAGTTCTATCATACTGCTATCAAACCGGCTATGTTATATGGTAGTGAATACTGGGCTCTAATGGGACAACAAGAGCATAAAATTGGAGTAGCATAAATGAGAATATTACGATGAATGTGCGAACATACACGCAAAGATAAAATTCTAAATGAGCACGAACTCAAAATAATGGGGGTAACACCTACTGAGAAAAAAAATGGTAGAAAATCATTTGAGATGGTTTGGACATGTATAAAGAAGACAGTTGGAGGCACCAGTGAGAAGAGTGGAACATATAACTTTGAGCCTTGTTAAAAGGGATAGAGGAAAGCTTAAGAGAACACTCTTGAAAGTTATTGAATACGATCTTTTAATTAATAATATTTTTAAAAGCTTAATAAATGATATAACACAATTGCGTCTTGCAATTCATGTAGCCAACCCCACCTAGTGGGATAAAGGCTTCTTGTTGTTGTTGTTGTATCAATCTTAATTCATTTTATTTTTTCTTTAAGAATGTGTTCTTGTAAACATCGAACAAATATAAAGCAAGAATACTCTATTTTATAAAATCCAGACTAACTTCAGCAAGGAATTAACAAAAGATAAATCTAACATTTACGCATTTACAAACATTAAAAATTATTGAAGAGTACAGACACGACATACCTGATACCGTTCCTTGTACTCTTCAGGAAGCACCTCAGCAGCCAACAAGGCATCGAGCATGCCAAAGTAAACCTGGTTTTGCAGAGAACCAAGTACGTTTTGTATCGCTATTACTCCTACATATTTCAATTTCCACTAACAAAGATGCAACAGGAAGTTCAAAAGGCTGTAGCTTGTGCCATAATAATGATACCCCAATTACCCTACGCTCCTCAATCAGGGAAAAAAAAAATGCTAAACAATATTAATAGAATTGAAATGTGCATTCGAATCGTATCACTTTTCTTACAATCCATTAAATCTTTTAACTAAACGTCATAAAGGGTGTATTTCCACATATACTATATAATAACCTCAAATTCCTAATTATAGTATTGATCAACACACGAATAGATTTGCTGAAGATCAGCAAATGCACACTAATATTTAGCATCCATTTTGATAATTTATTTGGGGTGGGGGCGGGGGGGAACTAAAATACAAATACTTATTGCCATATGAAAGCAACAAGAAAAGTTTCCTCATGTTCCAGTCAATCCATGCCATTAAAAGAGAGTAGAAGACTCCAAATTTGAAGTGACAAGCATGAAGCAACTTACTACTGAAATTAAAAAAAAAATGAAAAGTTATACACAGGCTTTCGATTTTCAGAAAAGATTCAAAGCATCAAATGCATATTGACAACACAATTTAACATATGCACATGGTAGTAAATATATTGTTTTCTTACCGCCATATCTCCCAAAGACTTGCTGCAGATTGGACATGTGTAGTGACTACAAGTGTATGCCTAACATATCAAAAGAAGGATTGAGTCAAATTCTAAGAATAGTAAAAGAACTGCAGAAGGGGAGTGATAGAGAAAAGAGGGGAGTAGCAACTTGCAAACTAAGAATGGTGTGAAATAGACCTGAAAGCAAGCTGAATGCATATAATGGCCACAAGGTAGAGCTCTGACTGTAGCACTGGATGTGAATAAGAAGTCACAACAAATTGGACAGTTCATTTCCAAGCCTTTCTCCAAGCATTTGTGAGATGCTGTTTTAATCCCCAGACAACAATTGCATTTCATACAATGAAAATAATCAATTCCAAGCCCTTTCCCAACACGGCATAAATTGCAAAATGGGCAATGATATACAATCCTGAAAACGAATAATGCTTGGTTAATGAACAAAAGCTAGAAGAGGAAGAAAGAATAGTGTCTGTTTTCAAGTCTGCAGCAGTAGCTAAGCAAATTAAGTGGCTAAGAGAGAGACCTCAGATTAACAAGTCCCAAATGAGACTATCAAATACAAAGAGAAGAATTCAACTACTACTTCACGTGCTGACATAAGAATATTAAAGATGTTAAGAATATGAACTGAAATTTGTATTACTATATGCATTCATAAAAGAGGAACTGGAAACTGGAAAGCACCTTTCATCATCAAAAAATTTGCAGATGTTGCAATAATATTTTGCCATTGAAAGTCCATTACATGAAGGGGTCATGCATATGGGCCCAACTACTTGTATATTCAAGCAGCGCATACACATCATTTCTAATGTTGCTTTTCTGCAATGATCAAACAGTTTATTAGAGATATCAAGCACAATAAAATATAACAGAAACCATCAGAAATTTACCTGTCCATTGAGTGATCGCTCACGTTGTCATGGCAAAATCTGCATGGAAATAACTTCCCACAACATGCAGCTCGAAGTTTGCAGTTTCTCTTATAATGCTCACATCCAAATTCTTTTTTCTCCACATCCCGAAATGATGGTGTCCTTCCTTCTATTTCTTCACCATTTGAGGATCCTCCAGCCACAGCTTTGGGTGACTTCTGCTGGGAAGCAATCCAGCGACTACAATGTACAAACTACTAATAAAAAATTGGATCTTTAAGAGTATAGCATGCACAATGATATGAAAAAGTAATTGGTTATGCCACACTGTTATTTGAACCAATGAAATTAGTATTCACTAGAACCAACCTGGTCATTAGATTTTGCACAAGATATGCCTTTCTCCTAGGGTCAAGAGTAGAATCCCGATAAACCTTCCGTATCTCTAACTCAAGCTCACTCTGATTCATCCGAAATATATCTTTCCAACCTGGCTTAAAAATCTGATCATTCAGGTCCAAGCTTTCTTGATATTCAGTACCTGTGAAAGAACCATAAGACATTTTACATTTACCTATCTATCTCACAAATTCTGCAAGACATGAAATAAACTAATAACATATTAGAAACCTCTTTGGGAAGTGCTATGCTCTGATGTTTCAGTCAATGGGATGGACGATGGACTCTCTTTCCAGCATTCATTAAGCCATTCGTTGAACATAGTGTTCTTCGTAGCCTGCTTCCATGTGTCCATCATTTTGTTCTGTTCATCCTGAGTCAGTGCAGAAGTTACCCATGGTAACATTGACTGCAGTACTTCAGCACCAGTAGTTCCAATTATCCGGCCAACTATCTTGTCTTGTTCTTCCACAGTGAAATGTCTCCCAAACAATGGCCAAAGCTCACGCTCTTCTCTGAAAATATGCTGATCTAGGGTCACTCTTATGGATTTGCACATCCCTTGAAGTTTAGTTGCTAACTCATTATATTTTCTTATATTCTCACGCACTGTGGCATCAGAAATTTCAGAATTACTTGTATGCTCTGACATATTGAGTGTCAGCAAATTTTCATGGAGAACAGAAAGCTCAGAAAGAACACAGGATACATCCTCAAATAATTTTTCTTCCTGCCTATGATCCAGTGTGTATGAATGACTCACATTGTGAAGTGCCTCTTTGGATTCCAATGCTGGAAAAACTATGTCATCTTCAGCATTACTGTGAGCTCTATGTAAGCCCCATAAAAGGCGAAATCTTCCAGCAAATTGACGAAGAATTGTCTCATCACCATCACTAAGCTTTCCAGATTCAACATCTAAATACTCCAAGTCTTTGCGTATAGCTTTATGGAATTTAAATATGGTATCAATCGGTCTTTCTGCAGAGCTAGCATCACAAGAGTTATGATCTGTTTCCCATATGAAAAGACTGGAATTCAGAGATGGGGGAGAAGAGCTGAAAGATAAGGAGCGCAAGGACTTGGTAGTAGAATGAGAACTCAGCCCCAGATTATTACTGCTTACTCCTAAACCTGGCACACAACAAGACCGAGCATTACAACATTGCTCTTGGATACTTTCAGTTTCTGAAGTTTCAGGGACATCTCCATTCTTGCAGAACTCCAATATGTTTCGCTTGACTGGCCTTTTGTTCTCATCTGATTCAGCTGATACTGAGCAACCATTAGCAGATAATGCACAAGAACAAGCACAGGATGACTGCGAACAATTTTCTTCAATATCAGCAAGATTTTTAGCAGGACAGCAGCCTGATACACTTGAAGACAAGCACAGACCCTCCTTCCGAGACTTGCAAGCCCAACCACAGAAGAGAGTGACTAAAGCAGAATCTGTTGGAGGAGCTGGAAAAAGTTGACAGAATTTCAGATAAAAAACAAAAAAGAAATTAATATAATCACTTCTTTTTAGCAAAGGAGAATTTAAAATAGATGCAGAACCTGCTAGTTGCATGTTTTTCAAAAACATCTTTGCTTCATCTTCAGTTAATGATCCTACCAACCATGGCAGGACACGTTCAATCAATTTTAAAGGCATCATGCACAAGCTTTGGTACAAAAGTTCGCGTTGCTTTTTGAAGCTAAAGTGCTTCCGAGCAAGTGGAAGAACCTACAGAAAATATAATACCTAAAAATATAATACATGCAGCTTTACATCGAAATATTCTTGCCAAGACAAATGCAGTAAATATTCACTTAGGAAATACAAAATTTAACCATGTTCATCAACCTTTGACAAGCTACAAGTCACACACAGATCCCAGGATTAAGATAACTTTGTTCTTGCAAATCAATAAAATGGAGATATTACACATAAGATACAAGCAGGGTGGGTTTAATTGGAGAAAGGCTAAAGGAGCTATTTGCGATCATAAGGTACCTGATAAATTTAAAAGAAAGTTTTATCGAACTGCTATAAAACTAGTAATTTTATATGGTAATGAATGTTAGGCTTTAATGAAACAGTAAGAGCATAAAGTTAGAGTGACAGAGATGAGAATGTTGAGAAGGATGTGTGGATATACACAAAAAGACAAAATTTGAAATGAGCAAATGCAAGAAAAAGTGGGTGTGGCACCTATTGAAGAAAAAATGATAGAAAATCGTTTGAAGAGAGTGAAACAGATGATTTTAACCCCTGTTAAAAAGGGCAAAGAAAGACCGACAAAAACACTTTTAGAGGTTGTTGAACAAGACCTTTTAATTAATAATATTCCTAAAAACTTAATAAATGATAGAGCACAATGACATCATATAATCCATATAGCTGACTCCACCAAATGGAATAAAACTTGTTCTTATTCTTGTTCTTGTTCTCGTTCTCGTTCTTGCAGATCAACATTATACTTGCCTATATCTCACAATAGCCAATTTCAAAATATTACTGTTTTATCAATGCCCACCTGAACTTCTTCATTGCGGAAATGCCTCTGTATGGTTTCCATTATATGATCAGCATATAAGCATAACTTGGAATAAAATTCAGCTTCAGAATTGGATGTTGCTCCTTCACTCTGAATGCCTTCAATCAAACACCGGAAGTCATTAAACTGGCTTTCTTCTTCAGCATGCTCCTGAAAGAAAGAAAGCTCGCCATCTACAGCAGGAAATATAACCTTGTCCTCAGCAATACTGCATCCACAGAAATTATTGTTTCTTCAGATAAACAAGGTAGCTGTTTAGCACCCAAGCAACATCATTCCGTCAACATTTCTTGTTGAACATGTCTGTTACTATATAAAGAATAAAGCACAAAGAAGAGGGGACAACAACATCATGCATATGGACCTGTGAGACGGGAAAACAGAACAGATGAGTTATAACAAGCAAAGCAGGTTGAAAAAGAAAAACAAATCTTACAAGAAGCATAATAAGGAATCTTTTAATTAAGAAAATATAACATACTTCCACGAGGCTGAATTTGATAAATCAACATTAAGACAATACCTGTGAAATACACAAACTTCAGCAATAAACTGCAACCTTTCATTAAAAGCTGACAAATTAGTAAAATTTCCTGAAAGCTGTATCTTTCTGGTCTCCACCGCTATCTCACTCAACTCTTTTTTGACAGCATTATGCCAGAGCAATATTTCATCAATAGGATGTGTTCCAGCAGCATCAGAAACATCCAGAATAGATTCAGGATATTTCCGTTTCCCAGTTGTCGCATACTCACATGCACAGTTTGCTTTCCCAATCAGATGGGTTAATGGGCTAGGACTACACTGAACATGAGAATGATGTCCACAACTTTCAACTGCGTTAACACCACCTCTACCTTCCATCCAAGTGAAAATAACCTTCAATATGGAAGAATAGCAGTCAGATTCATAAGCATGACATAACAAATTCTCCTATAGAATAAATCCTTGACTTCAACCAGTACACTCCAAAAGGAGAACTTCGCGGGGAAGGGAGGAAAAGGCAGCATTATTAAATAATTGAAAACAACATACTCTGAAGGTTATTGAAAACTATACCTTTTGAAGAAGCTTTTCTTCTGGTACTATCTTGCTTAAGCACTTCTGCAGATCAGTAGATTCATCCGGTGATATAGATGTTGACAGCCAGGGAAGAAATTCTGTCATTGTATTGACAGGTATACTGCACAGAAACTGCCAAACTAGAGATGCCTGCTCGTCTGCTGAGAAGTTCTTGATAAGCAACGGAAATACCTGATATAATCCAAAAAGAAAATGATTAACACCCATAACATAAAAACAACATTTCACAAATTCAGGGCAATAATGAATGTTCCTACAATGAATTCCTTACGACACCAGCTTCATAGACAGATTTCTGTGTCGTGAAAACTCCCTGAAGGGAGCCAGACTTGAAAACATGTTCATTCACACATAAACTTCATTCTCTTCCTAATATATAAAAATTGCATTAGTGGATATTGCAAATAGGAAGAGAACAATTAATTGTCTTAACAATTATTAAGACAAGATGACAGAAAACTTCTAAAGTTACTTGCTGTACCTACTAAACCATTAGTCAATCACTTTGTATTTAAGTTTTACTCCACGTCACAAATTTGTAAGGAGTAACCGTCCTTTACGATTCAGAGGTTTGCTTTCTTTCTTTCTTTCTTTCTTTTTTCCTTTATAAAAGAGTTCCATATTGATAGTGTTCTTTTCTTCATAAAAATTTCTAATCAATTGGACCAACAGTGTTCACATGACTTTAATAAGAAATAAGACTTATCTCATTTAAAAACTACCAGCATTAATTACAATTTAATAATTATTTTTCCAGTAACATAATTTAATAAGAAACAAAACAGAGGACTTTAGAGATTAATGTGCAAAACAGAAGGCACGCTCATAAAGAGGGCCAGACAGCTTCACACTCTTGAAGACAGGGGGGACAACATAAACAAATGCATGATAAAAGACCTAATAACAGACAACTTCATACCCTCCAGGAAAGGAAAAATGGAGAACTAAAGACCAAATTAAAGTTTATTACAATCACAGGAAATAAGGAAAGAAAATGGGAGATAAATTATTGACTTTAACACACATTATGGGCATGTGAATCACAAGGGATTTGAGATGGAATAACGTGGGTCAAGGGGTTTCAATATTTTTCATTTGAACAATGATCTTTTTTATTTATTTATTTAGGTTTCTAGATCAAAGACCAGAAAACACTTTGTAACTTATGCTGACTTGGCCATAGAATTTTCAATAACCTGTGCAATCATAAGATCCTCAAGATTGTAAAGTAAAGACATGGGGAGAAAAAGGCTTCGAATGGTTCACAAGTGAAAATTCATCAGACAAAAAGACAATTTATCTTTGTATTTTTCTCATTCCATGAGTCCAAGAGGAATAAAAGAAAAAGCTATCAAACATATATATACCTGCTCCTCTTCCTTAGCCATGTGTTGACTAACTGATGTTTGCAGAGCTCCTGTGCAAGATGCTAACTCCTTTGAAAAACTTTCATCATTTTGGATGGTAGAATTTAGCAGCTCAAATAGATGATCAAACAGATTGCTTTCACCCTTGTGTTCAAGAGAATATGTTTGAGCCACATTCTTCACACGTATATCAAGAGCAGGAAAAATCACCTACATGTCCAGAATATATTTCCTTGAGAACTTTGGAGTACAGCTGAAAAGCAGAGGCAATAATGCCAAATAAAATAAAAGACACTTCAAGAAAGTAGGCAAGTTCCACAAGTTGAGCATATAGGACTGAAATCACACACAAGCAGTCAGTGGACTCTATCAAGAAATCTGTAAAATTTCTCCAATAAACAAATCAAGGCCAAGGGGAACACTTGATAATTTAAATTTGAAGTTGACAAAAAGTTTCCCATGCATGGAAGGACTAGCTGTAAGACATACCACCCAAAATTGTTGGTCGTTCCCCAACCTGTTTATCAAATACACTAACTACCTTCTTATAACCTCAACGTAGACATGAATCAGTATTCGATCTGTTTCAGGGTAGCTAGTTGTTGCTGTTGTTGTTATTTTTTTACCCTTTTTTCTTCTTTTTTTTTTTCCTTTTTTTTTGGGGGGCGGGGGGCGCAGCACATTGATGCTTTTACTTGGTGACGGCAAACACCAATAAGTCTTTCCCATGAAATACTTGGGCCAACCACTATAGCTTCAAGGATATTAAAAGCGCTAGTAATTTTTATTAGGAGCAAATCAGCAAAGGAACCATATTAGGACATTGTCACTAATTCTTACCCTGAAAAGGATGATGAAAATAATAGTACAGTCTAAATAAATAGGCTGCTTATAAAAAAATAACCGTCGACGTTTCGATTACCGATTATTTTTGCATTTCAGCTTAAGTTCTTCCAAAAACTAATTGATGAAGACAACGGGATACGCATTCCAACGATAGGGTCATTGCAACAAAATATGTAATCCAGTTTGAAGTGTCCTGTTTGCTGCGTCGAGTTGTATTTGATATAGCTCTGGCTATTAAGTATCTGTTTCATAGCTTTCGATGAGGAGTAACGGAAGATAAAAGCCAAAAACCCCCTAATGAAAAGAGTCTACCAGAAAGGAGCATAAGCTTTAAATAAACCACAATTTGCAAAAGGGGTTGAAGATAAGGGCAAAAGTAATTACGAATTTATTCCCGTTTGTTCTCCAGGTGGAAAAAGAGGAGAGTATATATGTTTATGCTAATAACAAAAGAAGAGCCATGTTAAAGTGACCAAGAATCAGACTCAGACCTAAAATATACAAAAGGAAAAGAACGCCGTTTGGTCATCGAAAGATGCAGTTAGTCAACATGAGGCCGAGAAATTTTTGTTTCCACAACATTGCCAACACTTAACAAAATCTGATTATGCGGTAACTTGAGAAATAGGCTCGAATATATTAATTTCGACAGGTAGATTGTGAACAAGGAAAACAAAAACTAGACCTCATCTTCAGCATTGGAGTGGTGTCTATAAATGGATCTAACGAAATGATAGCGCTCGAAGAGTGGCTGAATATCAGCGCGGTTGCCCGTCGCAAATGCCATGGCCAACCGGTGAAGAGCATCAAGCTCATTTCGAATCGCCTTATGAAACAAGAAGAAAATCAAGATTGGAGACTCCAACTCAGAGCAGTTCAAGACACCATTGGAGGCCGAAGTCGATGGCGAGGAGGAATCGACGCTGTTCACAGAATTGGAGAGCACAGGCACTCCTCCTCTACCTTCCAAATGCTGGAGTCCCGTCAACGGTGTCGCCATGCTCTTCTTCTTCGTCTCCGGGGATCCTTTCTCGGGCCTTCTCGCACCTTTTATTTTCCGGGAAATTTATACATCCAGCTCCCTTCGTCGCCGTCGCCTAACTTCGTCTAAGTTTTAGTTTTAGAATTAGATTTTTTGGTGCTTCTCTCTCTCTAAATATTTCTATTTTATAGTCCATGCATTGGCGCTGACTGCTGAGCCTGAGCGCGTTATAACTTTTATAAGGCCCCCGGGGGGGTGTGGGGGTTGGAACTATTATTATTATTATTATTATCATTATCAGTATTATTATTATTATTATTATTAATTCGTCAATAGGCGAGGAAAGTATAATATGACTTAAATGAATGGGTTGGTGTTTTAGTTAAGCCGACGGCGATACGAGAACCAGGTTTCAGTTTCAGGAGGCGAGAGCCAAGTTTATGACTCGGGTAAGTCCACGTGGCTCAAACGTGCCACGTAGGAGATGATGTGTGCTGCCAATGTTCGGGCACGTGGCTTTTAAGAAATTTTTCTTTTTTCGAACGTCGGGTCTTAATCTTCTTTTAACACTGGCGGTTGAATGTCAATCTCAATTTCCATTATCAAATAAGGTAATTTCGAGAATTCTATTGGATTATTGTTTATAAATCATTAGTATTATCATTCTTATTATTTTATAGTCCCTGTACTAAATGTATATGAGTTAATTGGAGATTTTACTTTGATTAGAAAATATAAAATTTAACTCTTTTTATCTGCTGTATTTATTTTTTTCTCATAAACTATTCCTATTTATCACCTATTGAGGATAATTCTTAATGTAAATAACTGAAAGGAAGGGTATCGTAAAAAGAGACACATTTTTCACAAGTGATTGATTAATTTAATTAAATTAATTTCTTTAATATATAAAAATTAATCATCTAAATCTTAGACTTGGACAGCACGTATTATTTAATGAGAATGAAAGGATAGGAGGAGGGAGAAATAGAGGGCAAGTTCATGACGAGACGCAACCTCTTGGGGCCAAAAAAAAAAAAAAAAAGGCTTTGTAAGGTCATGTTCGGCTCCGCCATTGTTTTCTCTTTTCTGATTGGCGTGGGCATTTTGGTGGATTTTATTATTAAAAAACAGTGGGAAATTGCGAGAGGTTAAGGAAAAAAAGGCAACGGGGCAAGGAAAACAGGGGGGAGGATGTAATATGAATATAATATGAGATAATGTTGCTTAGTGGGCGGGGGAGCGAGAGTGAAAGAGAGAGAGAAAGGGGGATGAGAATTACACGTGGGAGGCACGAGCAGAGTGTGGGAGGGATGAGCTGGCATACGCGGATCCCTCTCTAGCCCTCCACCCACACGTAGCCTCGTCGTTGTTCGTTCCTTGTAATTCTAATTCCCACTCAATCTCCACTGTGCATGGCTGCATGCTTCGCCCCCTGTCCTTTTTGAATCTCAGGTCTCAACCTTTTTTAATCCCACTATATTTGGAGATTCCTTGTCCACTTCTCCATCTTTCGTGCACTCTCCCGTATCGTCTCATTAACAATAATTCCACTTGTTTACCCCTTTTTCGTTACTCTTTGGTTCTTGCTTCTCTCACACTTGGCACTTTGGCATGTGGCTGGCTATAATAGGCAGCACTGACTGGGATGATTCATCTGAAGCAACTGGGGCCACATCTCCGTGAAGTGCAGGTATATACAGTGACGCCATCATACCTGCATTTGTCTCTCCTGCGCACTCTCGAGCGCAAATTGGAGTATTATTATATATGGGAGTGCTTGAGTTCCTAAAGAATCATCGCACCCCTCAGGGCTTCTGATTCCGGGCAATGCCAAGACTCCCACATGAATGGTGCTGGGATTATATATCCATTAGTACCTAGTAATTTTGAAATTTTGTTTTCATTATCAGCAGTGCCACGCTAGTGATCATGCAGTTAATAACTTGATCTTTTATAACATACTTCCTCCATTTTTATATACAATATGCTTTTAGCCGAATTATACATACTAATAAAAATTTGTTATATAGTTGAAATACCATTAAATCAAAGGAATTTTCCAATTTTACTTTAAATAATGTCAACTAATATCATGATAATGTTGGTCATGGATAAAACACATAATTAATACTCCTTTCATCTCAAATTATAAAATACTTTTAGATAAAATTTCATATACCAATAAACCTCATTAAATATATCAAATAATTTTATCTTTTCAAAATAAAAATATAAACTTCTAAAAATACTCATTATTTAATGCATTGAAAAGAAAATGGATGATAGTTAATTATAAAAAAAAGGGTAATATTAAATTGATACATTTAATAAAATTTTAATTTATTTAAAGTATCATATATTTTGAAATGAAAAAATTCTTTTAAATGTGACTTATAATTTAAGATGAATGGAGTATTTTTTTAAACAAGAATAAAATTATTTAATTATTTAAAAATATTATGATATTTTTTATATTTAAAAATAAAATAAACTTTTAGAAAATAATGTTCCCTAAAAGGACGCTATTTGGTCGGCAAAGTAGCAGTGCTGGATAAAATGAGCTCCCGAGAAGAACTGTGCTCTCATCAATGCGCTGCCCTCCATGCATTAAGACTGAGCCATCTTTAAAATATATAAACGCTAAATAATAAATACTCACATCTTCTGAGCGGAAAATTAACACCTCCAGGCCACACAAAAAAAAAAAAAAAAAGTGCCCTCATTTATTGTCCGTAAGAACATGGACTCAATGATCCAGCTAGCTGAAGTAATTACTTTCTTTAATCTTATTTACAAAATAGAGAAGAAATAATTTTTTGATCATATTTATAAATTATATTATTAAATTTTTATTATAAATTTTTTTGCCCCCTGTTAAATGTTGAAAAAAAATATATTATTAAAATATATATATTTAATAGGGATAAAGTTGAGAATTTAATAAATTTTAAAGGTTTAGAATTTAAAGTCACATCATAAAATTTTTATTATAAATTTATTTTTTACTCTCTATTGAATATTGAAAAGAAAAAAATATATTATTGAAACGTATATATCTAATAAGAGTGGAGTCGAGAATTTAATAAATTTTAAGATAGAATTAATAAATTTTAAAATTTTTTTAAATATCAGTAAAATATATTGAAAGTGAAGAATAAATGGAATCAGGAGAGTAGAATTTATTAAAACTCGACACTTTTGGACGGGATCCGCTACTACTGAATTCGTGTAAATAAAGTTTTTGCTTCGCCAACTAAATCCAAACAAAATAGTTGGATTAGTGCTATAAAAGATTGACTGGAAAATCTTTAGCGCAGATAAAGCCTCGAAAGCGAAGGGAGGGAAAAAGCAGGCTCACTGCTCAGCCATTAAATCTGAAGTTAACGGTGCTCAAATCATTGTTCACCCAAGTTGCTTCACTAATTTGCTTTACTTAAAGAAAACACTCTGTTCGGGGGTCTACAAATAAAGTTGGAAAGGAAATTTGCCTAAAAGCCACGGGGCATCACAGAGCAGTATTGGGACAATTTAATCAAAATTTTTGTTTGTGATTGTTCTGTAATTTCTTTTAGCTGAGAAAGTATCATGAACGCACCTGAAACTATTTGATTGAATGGGGTCGCGGAATAGGCAACAGTATTTCGAAGTACGGCGCAAATATTGAACGGTGTGAGGAGTTTTCCTTCCATTTAGCCCTGTCCGGATTTTCTAGTGACGGGGGCTTTGGACACTTGATTGGTGCAGCCATATTTGCTTTTATGTGAGGAGTGCTAATTAAACGAGGGTTGCAAAAGCGATTGGAACATGACTAAATTAAAGCAGAGTAGAAACACGAATCTTGTAAGCTATGGGTTGGACTCAAAGTTGCTTCCCATGCGGAGGATGATGGATTGTCAAATCAAATTGACTGTGAAATGCAAGAGATAGTATTGACCTCCCCTCGAATATGAAAGGTGAATCCATTTTTCACTTAATGTGAGCTTTCTTTTCACACCTTTTTATATTGCCTCCATGTGAGTGTAAAGATAGTCCACTATGGACTAGCTCATGACACCACCCTCGTCACTTGGCCTTTTCCCTCGCAATCTGATTAGTGTTTTACTCTTACAATCAATCTCCCATGTTTACATTAGTTGTATGCCTGGTTTTGACTTTAAACGCACTTTAACTTCAATTCGCTGGGCGATTAATTTAAATCATAAGTGCATCATGCTTATTTATTATCTTACGAAATATCGATAGATTCATAAATTCTATTGAATGCATGAATCAAACTAAGACATAATTAAAAACATAATAAAAGTACAAACAAAGCTTCAAACCTTTTAAAATACGCACACACATATAAAGAGTTATTTGTAATTGAATTTGAGAATGCTCAAATTTAACTCTGTAACATAAATCATATAAAAAACAATACTATCCTACATGAATGATAAAATATTCTAGTCATGCATAAAAAGTTAATAACTTCTGAAATGTCAAATCACAATTTTGAATGCACATTGAAAGATCTGCATAAGCATCACCAGTTCACCGCCTCTGTCATTCGTTAGGGCAGGGGAGCAAGGGACAGTATGCCATATTGCCATGAAACTGAAACCAACTAGTACTATGCACGAAACATAATATAATGTGGTTCAATCTTGGCAGTGAATATTGAATAGTCACTTTCTTCTTCTTCTTCTTCTTCTTTTGGGGGAGGGGTTCTCTATCTACCCGTTTATTCTTTGTCAATGCTGAAGGCGAGGCAATAGCAGGTCCACAAGAGCAAAGGGTGCACCCCCCACCCGAAAAAGGCATAAAGAAAGAAGGAAAAGAGAGTGTGAGAAACGCATCTGTGTAGTGTGCAGGTAAATAAGAATATGTAAATTTTCATGTACAAATAATACGGCTTATAGCCTTGTATAATATATATATATATCTATCTATCTATCTATCTAATAAATTTATAGAAAATCATTCCACCTAAAATTTTATGGAAAGTCAATTGCTGTGAACAGTGCAAATTCCCAGACAAAATTTATGAGACAGGCATACACGCATTTTTTAAAAAAATCAAATCACCCACTGTAATGTTAACATCGAAGTTTTCAAGATTTAACTAATCCAAGCGGATTTTTATCCACAAATGTAGGTAAATGGGAGAATGACAAAAAATCCTTTTAACATGTGAGAATCTTAAATGAAAACCTTGAAATTGTCTAATCACTTCGAAGTCCCAAGGATTTTTTTTTTTTGGAATTAAATTTTTTTACCAAATTACCTCAATAACCCTCTACTCAACTCCCTCACTCCTCCCTCTTTTCTTGACAAGTGCGTATTTTACTGATAAATAGGCATATATTTTAGATTATATTTAATTATATTTATTATTATTTTACGTCTATTTAATTAATTTCTACAGATTTTTCTCTTATTACTTAATTATAAGATAAAGATAGTTTTTGCTGCAAAATCTACTCATATCTATTTGTTTTATATTTTGCTGAAGAAATAGTAATTGAAATCAAGGAGAGAGAGAATACACCCACCTAGAGAAGTATATATATATTAATCATAGGAATCATAGGATAATTGTGTAAGGATATCATCAGCGGCAGGATCATGTCGAGGAGGATCCAAAGATATTTTGTGATTGCATTCAACCATGAATCATTCAGCAAAAATATGTAAACTAGTCTATAAAAAAAGATATAAGGCTTATTTAAAATTAGCCAAATTCATCACCTGAGTGTTAGAAATCAGGTCACAGAATCTAGAGGACCTCCTTCGAGTTAGGAGTTTTTCTTTTTATTTTATTTATGTTTTCTATTGAGATGTTTTGTGTTGATTTTATGAATTATTATTAAACTCTCAATCAGGACAAGAAATAGCTTGATTGTAATGAATTTTGCTTTTTTGATTTGATTTGATTATTTTATTTTTTTCTTTGAACTTAACATCTTATTTAGGAGATTTTAATGTTTCAATTTGTATTTATCTCTCTCATTTTGATCACTCTTCTGCTATATAAATTGTATATGGATGGTTTGATTAATTAAAAGGTAAAAAACTTATCTAAACCTAAAGAGATAGACGCATATAATTATACTAGGAATAATTTAGGAATCTGTGTTACCTTAAACCTAGTTTCATGGTTGATCTATAAAATAAAATTGAGTGAGAACTAAATTTAATTCTAATTAAATGCATTCTAATATACTAGAAGGGAATTAGGATGCCTTCGAAATGATTTTCACTGTAAAGGAAGGGAAGACAGTTACTCTTTCTATTACAAAATGTAAGCATTTTTAACTGAATATCTTACTCTTTCTATTACAAAATGTAAGCATTTTTAACTGAATATCATTTTCAATAAAATAGTTATTTATTTTTAAATTAATCATATCTTTTTATATTTAACTTTATTTAATAGGGTACTTGACCTTAAAATAAATATAAAGTGATTTATTCAATATGAGTACTTTTGAAAAAAAAATAATAACTACACCTTAAAAAATAAAAAATACTTTATATTTTTTAACATCTAATCCATCAAAAAATATTTTATATTTTTTAATAAAGTGAATAATTGAATGTAAATAATCGATCCTGATACATGAATTTTGATTTCTAACATTCATTTGATTGATTGGTTCATTATTTCCATCACTTTTATTGTTTTTTCGCACCACCATTATCTAAATTAGTTATCAGTTTTAAAACTACTTTTTTGATTTCCTGAAACAACAAAGTTAATCGTTTTCTTCTGGTTTTTGACTCCTAAAATATTTTAAGATTTATTTGTATGTCGGTTTCGTGCACTTGCGTCACCCCCTCTCTCCATGAATTCAAAGACATCTCTCTCCATAACAGCGAGTGGATATTTCTATTGAAAGGTTTGGGATCATGACAAATGAAAGACATGAAATTACAAACAAGGGTAAAGGATAAAATTCCATCCACCAGCTCTTGACAGTGTGATTAGTATAATTACAATTGTAGATGTCATCGTTGAAAATCATAGAGTGAAAACAGATATGGAGGTCGCTGCATGTCTGAAGCTCACTATGATCCGAAGGTCGCAGCTCATCCAAAGCCGTCTCTGTCATGCCAGTGCCACAGACGTTCTCATCATGCAGAAGTCGTTCCTGTCAGTCTCGATCGAATTAAGTTCGTTTCAAGCTCTCCAGTTGGGCTCCAAATTTCCGATCGTCATGCTCTCCAATTCGTCTCGAGTTCTCCGTTATGATCACCAGTCGCATTTTCGCAACAGAGATCTTTAATAAAGCGTGATTGCCACCTTTAAAAGCAGAATTGTCAAGTCCAGATCTTTGAGCTCTAGAACTTAGAGCGAAGCAGCAAGCTCATTCTCCTTGCCAGAACTAATGGAGAAAAGAAAATGATAGAGATCTAATAATTGACGCGAGGACATTTCATTCACAAATAATTAGCCTAAAATCACAAAACTTAGTTCCGAAGAATTACTAAACTTAATAAAAGACGATATAACATCACTGTGCCATGGAGCCCACTGAGTTTCTGATCATAGCCATGGGGAAAAAATAAAATCACTTCGATCACTGTTATAAAGGGAGGGAGAGCTGTGTTAGTTTGTTTTACCTAAAAAACTGAAGAAAAGAGAAAACGAACAAAAAAAATATTATCACTCTCCCCATTTGAATAAACAGAAAAAAATAGGGAGAAAAAATAAATATTTATCGTAATAATTATAATGTCCTTATATTAAAATATATCATGTTTCATGTAATTGTATTTGTAAAAATAAATTGGAAGGAGAAATTATATTAAATTAACATAATTAAATTAATTTAAAATTAAATTATTTGTTAAAAATATATTTTTATATTATATTTTAAAATCAAATAATTAAAATAAATTTAATGTAATCGTGGACACTTGAAATAGTCAATGGTTAAATTATTTAATTAAATAGTTATTAATGTAATTCATAACCATAAAAGTTAAAAATTATAAACTAAACTGTTTAATTAAAATTAAATTAATGTAATTAAGTAATCTTCTGAGGGTCAGACTGTCAGAGTGCGAAATAAATAAGAGAGAGAGGATAGACGGTGGAAAAAAAATTTAATCCCAAAATCTCTCCACTTTTAAAAAGAAAGGTTAAAAGAAAAATATTGTGAATCCTACACTTTATTTTCCTCCCACTTTTTTTTTCCTTTTATTTTTTCTTCCCTATTTAAATAGAAAAAAATTTGTTTTCTCTCCAAATTTTCTTGTCTCTCATGTTTTCTTCCCAACCAAACATGGCATTAAAGTGAGTGAGCTGGACGAAGGCTAGCATGATAATTTTGTGAGAAAATTTAATTCCAAACAAGTCTCTTCAGTTGAGACTTTAGAGTGATTATACTATTTCAAGGTCTTCACCTGAGATTTTCATATTTCAAAAGGGTTTCATCATTCTCCCTAGACCAATCATGCTTCGAACCAAACTTAAATTACTTACGATTTTTTTTTTTACCAATAACTATGTACGAAATTGAAATCAAGGTTTCTCCATGGGCCTTTGGCCCATCTACTTGCCAAAAAAAAAAGAAAAAGAAAATTCAGAATTTATTTGTTAATCTCTTGCGACTTGAGCACCGAAACACAATCGTCTGACAATTTTTTTAACTTTTTTTAATCATAAATTTATTATAATAATAAATAAGTAAATATTATAAAATTGTTATTTTAATATTTAACAAACAAATAAATATTAAGATGTTAAAATTAAACTTAAATAGTTTAACTCATTAAAATTTAACTTCAACAATTCACATATAAATTTTAATCCGAACAATTTAGAATTGTACTAAACAAATTAGAATTATAATTTTTATTTTATTGTTACACAATTGTCTATTTATGAAAGGTAATGTCATTCAAGGCATGATTTAATATTAAATATAGATAATTTTTTTAATACAAATTCAAACATTGATTTATTGTAGTGTAAGAAATTAATTCATTTTGTTCCACTCAACTCTTATTTTAAACTATTTAGATCATTTTTTATCTTTTTAATATTGTTCTAAATTGTTTAAATCAAAATTTTTATTTAAATTATTTATATTCAATTTTAACATCTTAATATTTATTTATTTATTAAATATTAAAATAATAATTTTATAATATTTATTTATTATTATTATAATGAATTTATTGTTAAAAAAATAAAAAAAAAATTAACACTGTCAAACGGTAGTGTTTTGATGCTCAGCACAGAGCATCGAAACCAAATCCTGATCCCCTACCCCTCCAAAAAAAAAAAAGGCCGAACGAGGCCTTACTGTTTATTGCCCTTCTCAGGCCCATTCCCATGGCCGGCCCCGACCTGACAGCTCCAGCTTCGCCGGCATGAAAAGCTTAATTCAAATAATTAAAAAAAAAGCTTAATTATTTGAATTAAAAATTAAAAAATTAAAAAGAAAGAAGCAAGACTCTTGCCAGTTACCCCTTTGCTCCCTGAATCAAATCGAATGTGGCGCTGGAACATCGCCGACTCCGACTCCTTCCGAATCCGAATTTGCGCACGATTCTGCTGTTTGCAGCCATGAATTTCTAGGTCTTCTATTGGTTTCTCATCTTCCAATTGTGCTCACCGTGAATCGAACTTGTTCACTTTGTCGTTGTTCTCCTCCTTCAATGGCGGGTTCTTCGATCATGGACAACCTTTTCCAGCGCACTTTGGAGGATTTAATCAAAGGTTTCCGCCTCCAGCTCGTTGGCGAATCTGCCTTCATTTCAAAGGCCGTGGAGGAGATTCGCCGTGAGATCAAGTCAACCGATCTCGACACCAAGTCCATTGCTCTTCAGAAGTTATCTTACCTGAGTGCAATTTATGGCGTCGACATGTCTTGGGCTGCTTTTCATGTCGTCGAGGTTATGTCATCTTCTCGGTTTGCCCACAAAAAGATCGGGTACCTTGCTGCCTCCCAGTCCTTTCACGAGGGTACCTCTGTCCTACTTCTTATTACTAACCAACTTCGCAAAGATCTCTCGAGCCCTAACGAGTTTGAGGTAAGTCTTGCTCTTGAATGCCTATCGAGGATTGCCACGATTGATCTTGCTAGAGATTTAACACCAGACGTGTTCACATTGCTGTCTAGTAGCAAGGTTTTTGTGAGGAAGAAAGCGATTGGGGTGGTCTTAAGGGTTTTTGATAAATACCCTGATGCAGTTAGGGTGTGTTTTAAGCGCTTAGTTGAGAATTTAGAGAATTCGGATTCACAAATTGTGACTGCGGTGGTGGGGGTCTTCTGTGAGCTCTCTTCTAAAGATCCCCGATCATATCTTCCCTTGGCGCCTGAGTTTTACAGAATTTTGATTGATTCCAGGAACAACTGGGTTTTGATAAAGACACTAAAAATATTTGCCAAGTTGGCGCCACTTGAACCGAGGTTGGCTAAAAGGATTGTTGAACCTGTTTGTGAACTTATGAGGAGAACTGGAGCGAAGTCCTTAATGTTTGAGTGCGTTAGGACTGTGGTCACCAGCTTGAGTAATTATGAGTCTGCAGTCAAAGTGGCTGTCTCAAAGATTGGGGAGCTGCTGGTTGATCCGGATTCAAATCTCAGATTTCTTGGACTTCACGCTCTTTCAGTCGTTGCTTCAACCCACTTGTGGGCAGTCCTGGAGAACCAGCAAGTTGTGATCAAATCATTGAGTGATGAAGATCCTAATATTAAACTCGAGTCTCTGCACCTGGTTATGGCTATGGTGTCAGAGAGCAATGTGACAGAGATATCAAAGGTATTGGTCAATTATGCATTGAAGTCTTCTGACCCAGAATTTTGCAATGAGATTTTGGGTTCCATTTTAACAACATGTAGTAAAAATGTATATGAGATCATTATTGACTTTGATTGGTACGTTTCACTCCTCGGAGAAGTGTCAAGGATTCCAAATTGCCAAAAGGGTGAAGAAATTGAGAACCAGCTCATTGATATTGGTATGAGAGTGAAGGATGCTAGATTGGAGCTTGTCCGGGTTGGCCGTGATCTGTTGATAGACCCTGCATTACTTGGTAATGTGCATTTGCATAGGATACTATGTGCTGCTGCTTGGGTTGTCGGGGAATATGTTGAGGTTGCAAGTAACCCATTTGAACTGATGGATGCACTACTCCAACCTCGTACAAATCTCTTGCCACCATCAGTTAGGGCAGTTTATATCCATTCTTCTTTTAAAATATTGATTTTTTGTCTGGATTGTTACCTTGTGCAAAATGAATGTTCTGTATCCTCATTAGATTCCAGCAATTTGGCTGGAGGGTATTCTGGGTTGGTTGGTGGGAAAAAACACACAGAGACTCCTAATTTGGCATCATATGAAGGTCCACCACATAATGCTCAGAATGAGGGCTTTAGCCCGCAAAATACAGTGGACTCCTCTAAGGAGTTTGCTGTTCAAAATAATACGGAGAGAATTGTTACTCTGGACCAGACATCAATTGCCACTTCTGTGGAAAAGAATAATTTCACACTTGAATCTATCACTGGTCTCTTAAATCTAATTGAATCAGTTTTAAGCCCCCTTGCAGCAAATCAGGATGTTGAAGTACTAGAGAGAGCACGAAGTGTACTTTCTTTTGTTCGATTAGTTAAAGCAGAAATATCTGATAATCCCTACCAGAATGTGGGCATCTCAGACAAGAAATATGCTCAAGTTTCAGCTATTGTTAAATTGATGTGTGATGCTTTTGCCAACGAACTTGGTCCAGTCTCATTAAGTGCTCAGGGAAGAGTTGCTGTACCAGATGGATTAGTTCTGAATGAGAATCTTGATGACTTAGGAGCAATATGTGGTGATATTGAACTGCCTTCTTCTAGTTCATTTTCCATAGGAGGCCCTCATTTTGGCACTGCTCCTGACGCTTCTCCATTTAATCTTTCAAAGAAAGACGAGACAGAGCCATTGAATGAATCTACTTCTTTGCTTGAACATCGGAAGCGGCATGGATTATATTACCTTCCTTCAGAGAAGAATGAGGTTAGTTCTGATGATTATCCTCCTGCAAATGACCCTCAGAGAAAGAATAACTTAAATGATGGATCTGAAGATCTAGCCAAGTTGGCAGGGCAATCTCTTAATTTGAAAAAAAGGCCAAGCCAAATGAAGCCCAGGCCTGTAGTGGTGAAACTGGATGATGGAGATGTGGTACCAATTTCAGTTAAGAAGCCTGAGCCAAGAGATGATTCACTTTCTGGTGCTGTAAGAGATGTTCTTTTGGGGAGTGAAGACAAACCAAGTTCATCTCGAAGCAATCCTTCTAACAAGTCATCAGGTATGAAGAAGGAGAAAAAGAATCTAAGCACACATCATCCATCTGAGATCAAAGAAAACTTGATTGGTGCTGAAATGCCTGACCAAGCAAATCCAGATTTAAAGAGCAAACACCATAGTTGTCATAAAGAGAGAAGAAGTCCAAGGAAAACTATTGAAGGTGAAGAACCTGATCAAAGGGGAAAGAAAAAGAGTAGTCATCACCATAACAGACATAAAGCTCGTCAAGGATCCAGTTCACCTTTGAGTGTGGCTTCACAAACCCCAGTAATTCCAGATTTTCTTTTGTAGTGACCAAAGATTTTGCATTTGATTTTGTTTTATGGCTACCTGCTCTCATTGGTTGAGGCTGTTTACCTGTATTCTTTGCCCTCGCCCCTCAGTCCTTAGATCAGTCATGTAGATTTTAGTTGCATTTCTTTTGGTCATTGTCTATAATTTCTTTCTTTTTTGTTTGTTTTTTGCCATTCATTCACAGAGAGCATATATGAGAAATGTTCGAGTTGGATATATTCTGGCTTTCTTTATCTACAATAAATTATTGAAATTTTACCATGATATTTTGACCATGAATTCTTGAAGTTTCTGGGACTGCAAACCCAAAAAGTTTAGCACCTAAATCTTAGTTGTTGATATTAACTAAATGCTAGAAGACATTGCTCTCCAACTATTTCTTTGGAAGTTCCCTTGACACTCTGGATTTTTATGGAGCTGAATGATGTCAATTAACCGAACTAGAAAGCAGAATAACTTGAGCCAATGAACAGTGCCGGCTTGTGAGGGGATTCACTGTAGAGGATGATTATTGATGAATAGTATGGCTCAAATGAATAGTGACGGCTTGCAATTGGGCTGCGTGCATTTTTTTATCAATTCAATCTCCCGCCTAAATTTAAATTTGAGATTCAAATCTGTAATTCATCAATACATATCTACATCTTGCTGACTGTGATTATCATCTATAGCATGGTCTCCCGCTTTGAAATCATTATGCGATGGATGTTAGGTTTTAAGATAGTGTTGACCATGAGCCCTGGTCTTTTGGAAAAGAGGTTTGTTCATGTTTGGCTATATAAAATATAGAACTAATCATTGCTGGTTTTATTAATTAGGTAATAACTAAATCTATGCCACTTGGAAGCTGGAGCCAGAATGTATCAATGCTGTAATGTTTATATTGTTCATTAATTTGGCCCCAAGTTATCTTTTTTGAGATTATCGAAAAATAAATAGAATGTTTCACTTGCATTTCTTTTCTTGCTTTACGTTTTGGTGCATGTAGTATGCAAAATATTTTCTTTTGCTACTTGGTTCAGACATTTCTATTTATGGTTCGGATGTCTCCTTTAAGTTATATTTCAATTCAGAAAATATTCCTCCCTAAAAATATGTGCATGTTATTTCATAATATCTTTTAGTTGCATACTTGCCTAACTTCCTCTGGTGAAATGGGCATGTTATAGAAAGAAGTGTTTTTTTTTTTTTGGGTCATGTAGCAGTTAGATTTGATGTTTTTCCTATACATATTTGCTTTTCAGTTTTTATAAGTAAACATATTATCTGCGACTATATGTACTGAAACATAGTCTAATTAAATGGTAATATCCTATATTACCAATGACATGTTCCTTCTCCTTTGAGCGTATTGAATGTTGGTTATGAATTCCTTTACCCTAAAAACTAATATACATCTGTGTGTGGATGGTGATATTATATTTAGGAAAGTGGAGAGTGTAGGGGAGGGAGTGACTCATCTTGAACCAGGAGGTCATCCTTTTCATCCCCTATCGCTGTATTTGTGGAAAGTTTACTTGGCCGTCTGTTGCTCTCAATTCTTTTGCAACCTTTTTACAACTATGCAGGTTTCGGAGGATCCATTGGTGCAGCTGCTATTTTGGATTTCGTTGATTCTGGCCACAATTTAATTCTTGCAGCTGATAGTAAAGCACAATAATGCTCAATAATGCGATCATTTGTTAGCAAAAGAATTGAGACAAGTGCCCCTTTAATTAACTCCTTACTTGCATTATGCACAATAATGCTCAAGGGTTAAGCAATAAACATATGTGAGTAATAAATTTGCTGTTTATAAATGCGATCATTTGTTAGCACCACCGTCTGAGCCTATGAAGCTTCCTCTTTTGTCATTAGTTTCTTTCATTGGTTAATGTTGGATTGCAACAGGATTGGTGTGTGTTGTGTATAGGAGTTATTTTTCTGCTCATTAGCACTAAATGAAACTATAGAGTACTGGAAGATGCTCGCTGTATAGTACATCCTTCTGTTCTGATTATTTTTGGATAAACATGTACCAGGCTCCTGTTCTGTTCTGTGGATTGGCCACTCATGGAATCCTTCCAATAGCCTGGTAAAATGCCTTTATCTCAGTTATTTTATTGGCTTTAATTCTGGAAGCATTGTTAATGCATTTATATTGAAGTTGCTTGAGTTCTGGTTCCTCATTGATATAACCATTTTGTGTCTCAGATGCAACCGATGCAACCTGATTATATTTTAAATCGTGTGTATGATTATTTCTATGTATATATGGGAGCTTGACTATTTGTTTGTTTGCTGCTTCAGATTTGTGTTATCATATTTGTACACGCAAATTTTCTGTGCGTGATCTTATGAGCATAAGTTCTCCAACGGAATAAACACTCCTTCAACGCAATAGAAACTTCAGTTGGCTATGGACAGTGGCTTCATGGAGAGGCTGTTGCAGCTGGCACAGTACTTCAACCTCACTGTTGTTTTTTTATTCTCATGTTTTTGGGGCATATGAACTTTTATGCATGAATGGCAGTAAATTTAGCACATACTTTTATGTTATTTAGGCTCAGGATAGGAAATCTGAAAATGTATGCTTGCCTTACTAATGACAAGCTCTCAGTATCAGAGAATCTAATCTCGGTTATGTTTCCTGCTAATGCTGTGTAGGAAAATTTTGAGTCATCAATGAATGGGCACTGAAATATATAGCCTAGAGTAGCTTGTAGCAATTCTTTTACCACAAGGTTATTTTATTTTCATAATTTAGTCTTCTAAAACAAAATCAAAGTTGCTTAATAAATTAACTGCAATGACATAAATGAGAGTTAACATGATCATCAATTAATCGTTCTGGAATTTTTTTCATTCTAGTGTCATTCTTCTTCAAACGACAATGTCTTGTGTGATTTCAAAAAGAATTGAATTGGAACAGAGCAATACACCAGTCATTGTTTCAAAGTCCGTAAACAAGTCTCCGGAATGCTTATAAGGAATTTAAACACGCTCACATCTTAGTCATTCAAAAAGTTTGCGAGATGCTTTTGGTTTATTATTCTTGATATTTATAATTTTTGGTTCATGTCTTAGATTTTTGTTACTAAGAGTTATGTTAAAGAAATGTGATGTGTCTAGAAATACAAATGAGCTTTATTTGGTTCTTTTCCCATTTATTATTTGTTTGAGTGACAATTTTGTAAAAGAAAAAGTAGACAAAATTGCGGTGGAGTTGGTGATAGGAGCTTCTTATCAAAGTTATGCTTTTGAAAGAAAAAGATTACACAAATCATGCAGGGGCAATGTCTAAATTTGCAAATGGCCAAACAAACTCCTGATGCCTTAAAAAGATTTCATATAGTTATGCGTTTTGATATTGTGCTTTTGCTGTCAGGTAGTCCTTTCAGATTTGGGGGAGATGCATCATCTAAGGTGGTCAAGGGACATTCAGTTGAGTTTTCCTTGGTAGTTTTTACATATGATTTTATATAATATGTACCATTGTTGATCTTGCTGTTAACATATGGATAATTTCTGTTTATTTTTAAAGCTCATGGTTCAACATTACAATCATAATTTAAAAATCTCTCGTAGTTAATTTTAGCTAATGGGTTCCTTCTCTTTGTTCATTCTGTGTCATCAAGCAAGGTTTCTGTTGCTTAATTGAGGTGTTTCAGAATGCTAATTTTGTATATTAGTTGGAGATTTTGTCCGTGCGTGCGTGGGTGGACAAAGTTGATAGGATTGAAGTTGATGAATCAGATGCAAAATACATGGAATAAAGCTTGAAAAATGCCGTTGAGGCAGTTGCTGAAACTGGATTCTATTCAGGCTGAAGGTGAAGCGAGGCTGCAGAGAAAAGCTGAGGTAGTATTTATGGCGTCAAGACTAATCTGAAGTTGTAATGTTTTCTCTGTTGTTCATGCCGTTTTCATGCAATCCTTATTTTGACGAAGCATAAGTCATCATGGATCATGATTGATGACATTTGTCAATATTAGTGTTTTAAATAATGAAGCAGAATGCTGATTTTTTTCCCCTGGGTGGGGCGGGGGTAAAGCAGAACGTGATTATGTGTTATGTATTCTATGAAGCAATTTCCATTTTGAAAGAAAATGTTTTTTCAGCCAAGGTAGGGGTCCTGACCAAGATTTTGGGAATCATTAGGTAGAGAATATTTGAAAACCTTGCAGAATGAAATTCTATGCATGCCAAAACTATTCGTAGTGGCAATTGAAGGGATGAAAAATGGTGTTACTGCTGATTTTTGTACTTTATGAAGTTTATTATCAATTGCTTGCCTGTGACATGTGCTGTGTAACAAACAAGTTCATTGCTTTTTGTTTGGTCGCGATGGAGCTTGCTTATTATGAGGTATATTGACGTTAGAAATTTGTATTATTTATAATATTTGGCTATGATAGAATTTCATATCTCTTCACATACCATCATTTTTATCTTCTTATGGGTATCATTTTAAATGTGTCTTTTACAGTTTGAAAACTTCAGATGACATTGGGTGATGTTCTGCACCATATAATGAGTATTTGCTAATGCTACTCAATTAGATGCAAGTAGTATGGAATAGGAGAGTAATTGGATACTTGAGCAACTTAAATTTCTCAATCCGTTTGCATCTAGGAACTGGTTTCCCATGTTTTCCGCAATTTAAATAATTTTAACTCAATATTGAGTGGACAGTGAGTGGCTTGCACTGGCTGGCATAATACTATTGTGGGGAAAAACATGTTTTTTAGTCTTCGTTGTTCATTCCCATGATGGTGTGGATCTTTTTTTCTAATTCGAATTTTGACTATTCTATATGGCTTAACACTTTGTGTCCAGGTTGATTTGGAATTTGCAGAGTCTGGCCTGTGCGTCTTTCAGTGATAAGTTTTTTAATAAATTTAACTGCACAAAATTTCATTTAAAATGTTGATGGAATCACGAGTATTTTCTATATAAAGAAAATAAAGGAAAATGTATTGTGCTTGGTTGAACTATGTTTGAACCACGCAGGGATATTTAGAAGCATCTAACCAAATACCAACGAATTAAATCGTCATGAAAAATTGGTCAATTGGATGGTTCAGTGGTTTGGGAGGGCTGCACCATAGTATATTTGCTCGGCCAGCGACTGCAATCTATGAAATCAAGTCTTTACCTATGGATAACTATTTGTAGCTATCTTAAGGGTTAAAACTTTTGATGATTCTGACATGAAATCTAATTTCATTGCCATCAATGTTTAGTGTAGGATTTTATTTCAAAATGTGGAACCCAGTGTTAATTGCATTATACTTTCTCTTCTATT